GATTAATTTTGTTCGCTTACTGAATTACATCAAATCACACAACAATACCTGTATAAGGGGTATGCCTTCAGGAGGACTTTCTAAGAGGCTGACTTGCATTTACGTTACAAAATCCGTGAATCCAACTATTTAGCCGGGATCAAACCCAAGCGAGCTACAAGTGTTCAGCCACCTTTATCGCTTACTGAAGAGCCTGTAAAAATATTGATAAAGGAAAAGTATTGAATAACGGTTTAATTTTACTAACCTACAATCGACAGTACATAAAATTACGCATATGAGGGGGGATTATTTGTGAATAAATAAACTGTATTGACCACTTTTCTCCACTATTTCATATTACGATGGAATTATGCATTTCAAAGTTATTTCTCATGAATTAATTTTGCTCTTCATGATTTTGATATTTTCAAAGAGAAAATTCCACACTTTAAATAAAAAAATTACACGAGAAGATATTTTATGCAAAATTTGTCGTAAACGGTTTTCTTAATTTTGCTTGAAAATATTCCAGGGTAATCGTTTCATTACTGGAAGAAATATGAAAAAACAGATTTTACTATATTGTGTCAACAACCAGTATTCCTTATTCTTTTGAAAACGTGAAAGATTACTCTTTCTAAAATAAATTAGAAATTATATTATGTGCAAATAGAATATTCGTTGAAAATGAAATAGGCTTCAACCTTTGGGTATAAGCGATGGCTTTAGACGAAATTTCTGCCTATGAAAGGAAATTGATGTATAATTAATCTTCATGAACCATTTAAAACTGTTCTGAAAAATTGCTTTTGATGATTGCATGTATAGGTCACGGATTTTTTTCCTCTGCTAACATAAACAAAAGTCAATTTTACAAAGAAAAATTCTCATTAAAGACTCCTTTGCCTGATAGCCCAATCTAATATTTGTTAAAATTAAATGATGAAATGCAACCAATGTATCTCTGATTTTGATTTTTATATTATAATAACAAAATTATCGAAAAAATCAGATTTAAATCTCTGTTATGTTATGTAAAGCTTTATTATTGCGTAAGTTCATCTCAAAATCTAAATTGTATTGAATCTCATTCTAATCATCTAATGGTAATAAATATTATTATTATTATTCATTAAATTAGTCGTTACCAGTATTTTATTAATGAAAATATGTTATTAAAAATCGCATTCCAGCCTGCAGACTTACAAATCTAGTCCGTATTTACTATTTTGTTAAATTTTGTTCTCGCTTTCTAATTTTTAATACGAAAATACGCGAATATAAATGAAGAGTGAAAACAAAGTTAAAAAATTCTCAAATTATTTACGAGATTGATTAGAAATAGTGAGTGAAATATAAACATTGCATACGTTTTGTTCTAAATAAAGTGTGCTCTGCATATGCATCCAGTACTGCATATTTATTTATGCACTATTTATTTAGAACTTCATTTAAATGAAAGCAAAATAATCATCGAAAAAATTGCAAATCTAGCAACCCCTGTACTATGGGACGTAGGCGTCCAACAAACATGTAAATTTTACTTCATCCATGGAGGGGAACTAACGACTTTTCTTATTAGGAAAATGTCAAAGAGGGGGCAAAACTGTTTCGGATCTCGCCAGGCTGAAGGCTATATTATGAGAATTTCGGCCCGGTTTTAGAAGGTTAAAATGTTTTAATATTTTGTTGAATTTCCTTTTACTTTTAAAACGTGATTTAATCTTTTTGGGATGGATTCGACTAATTTTTTTTGGTTATTTCTGGAGTGATTTTACCCCATTATTCTTGAAGCAATGATTTTAATTGTTGTTTTGAAGAAATGGTGTGTTTGCGAATTCTTGATTCCAATTCTTGCCAAATATTCTCTATGGGATTTAAGTCTGGAGATTGTGGTGGTGTTTTTGGCACCAAGTTCTGTTTGCGAAATTCTTCCCTGGGTTTTCTCCACACCAAGATTCTACCGTCAAATATATTAAATTTACTCTCATCAGCAAATATAACTTCATGCCAGTAATCTGAGTTCTTATTTATGCTGGATTTTGCGAAAGCCAGTCTGAGTTTTCTATTCTTTTCACTTACTAAAAATTTTTCCAGGCTGCTCTACCGTGATATCCAGCAGATCTAATTACTCTTATAATAGTCTCAGGATTAACAATTACTCCATATAATGCTTGTAAATCAGACAGCAACTATAGGAGCACTCATTCTTGGAGTTTTTTTTTTTTTAATATTTCCAACGATAATTCGCTTTATTCCTTTGGATAGCTTTGATGGTCGGCCAGGTCTTCTTTTATCCTGAATCATATGATTCTTTTTATATCGTTTAATGATATTGAAAACTGTTGAATGACTCATGTTAACTGTTTCAGCAGTTTCTCTAATAGATTTTTCACGTTCAATATGCAAATTAATAACTAATTTTCGAATATCAGGCAAAGTTTCTTTTCGTTCAGCATTCATGGCTGCACAGAGCTAAAAACACAAAAGTTCCAAAACAAACTGGAGAGAAAGACTGCAGACGATTTCATAAATTATTGCTAATTGCTTTTGAGTAAAAATAAAAACCCCCCAAAATATTTTTATTGTAGTACGTAGTAGTATCTAATGGTGTCCCATCACTTATGTGAGCCATTTTTTGCTCCGTTCTAAACAATTGTATTTTTATTAAATTATTATTTTAATATTTTGAGAAAATGTATGTTATGTAATAATTGTTACTAAATTTAAGTATGAAACACAGCAACAAAAAATTTTTACATTTTTTTTAATTTATATTATTACAGTTTTCTTTTGTAAATCACAAGTGTCCCATCACCTTTGTGAGACACTGTACTTCTGCTGACATCTGAAGTGAATCAATATAAGTGACTTTTCACCTTAAAAAAATGTGATAAGTCTATTTAAAAAGTATATTGACGTTGTAAAGAAATTTGTAGAATTTTATGTTAATTGAGTATGAATTTGGTGATTCAAATATTTTTTTTACTTGAGCTATGTAATTTAAACTGAAAATCACGATCATATATTACTCACAGAGTATCAAAATTCATTTGTATTGAAAAAATGCATGAGCAATGAAAACATATGGGAAAATACTTTTTGATTATGTTATGACCATGGTTTTGGCAGTTCTGCCTTCATGTGTTCTATTCAACAAGATTTATTAAGTGCAGGCAATACAACGTAAAAATATTTAAAAATAGCGCGTTTTACAATATTTAGTTTCATTAATTGAAATATCATTTTTCATATTTTAATGCTTTCCTTTAAGAAAAGGGTGTTTACAATTATTGGTACTATTCCGTTTTGAGGACCGTAAAATTTGCAGCGAAAATATATGCGCAAAAGCGCCAAATCTAGCAAACGCGCCCATTTAACAGCGCGCCAAATCTAGCGTACCCGCTGATTTCAGATTGCGTAAGTTATATAGTTCTATATTTCTTAAGACGCCATTGAAATACTAGTTTAATTTTTAAATCCTTTTTTTTATTTTAAATCCTTTTTTAATATCCTATGGATTTAACAATTTGGGAATTGCCCATGACGAAAAGTCGGCAATAGAATTTTGGGCAAAGTGCAGAATCACACCTGTTTGACGCGTTTTTAAGAATTGCACATACTCGGTATCCATGTATACATCAACCTATTTTCACTTAAAAAAAACATCCCAGAATTGCACAAAAATGGCATTGTGCATTCCCTTGACTTAATCCATGTACACATCGACCTATTTTCACTTGAAATGTCAAAGAAAATTGACAAAAATCCAATTGTTTTTAGCCTTGTAAAAAGCGATAAACAAATAAGTGGACGATTCTGCACTTTAACGAGAATATTTTCAAAGAAAAGGCATCATTCATCATAGAGAATTACGTTTGAACAACCAACGAGATGAAATTATGCTTTAGCGATAAGTCGGTAGCGAAATAGCGATGCAGACATTCATTCAGTTATTTTAGCAATTCTTATATAAATTATAAATAAATTATAATAATGATCTGAAATAGTTATTTACTCTTTTGCTTCCATTCAGTCATGTTTAGCCTTTTTTATATAAATTATAATAATAAAAAAAGTATTATTATAAAATTAAACCTTTCATTCTAAATTAAAACATCAATCTTAGATAGTTATTTACTATTATACTTCCTTTCTTGCCGCAATTATTTTTGGCAGCTTTGGCATCAACAATAGTTTGGCGATTTTTTACGGCCCTCGAAACCGAATAGTACCCAATTATTTTATCATTCGTACGAATTCTAAACATAAAATAAACATTTGATTTGACAAAATACTTAATAGGAAAGTATATACCCGGTATTTCCAATATGTTATTATACATACTACACATAAAATGATCATTTTGCTTTAGTTTACATTTTTTCCATTATTGAAATCATGCAACAGACGCGTCGACCGATGGATCTTGTCACTCGGGTGACGTCACTATCAGCAACCAATGGCATACTTTTCCCGTTCCTGACCTAATCTTTAGTATATTAAAGAACCTTGGTTTGTCAGTTTGGCAACACTCGGTAGCGAAAGTGAAGGTTTGTGATTTGTAGCAGAAGGTTCAAATGCGAAGTAGTGAGCCATTTAAGCATGTGACTGTGTCAATAGAAAAAAAAAAAAAAAAAATCCTTTTAATTCCAGCCAATCTTTATAATTATTGCAGTCTCCATACTTGAAAATTTATGTATGAGTTTTATGTAATCTTCTGTAAACTTAGAGAGAAATAATTTTATTTTTTCAATTCTTTATATTATCTGTTGAGACGAAATAATTTATTTACCGTATCTGCGTTTCTGACCCTTATCCTAACCATATATACTGATAAACCCATTTTATAACTGACAGCTTTTCTCTGTTTTTGAGATTTTTAGTACATTTACGGTATCTGAAATTACTTAAGCTCAAACAAGGATGCCGCCGCACAAAGGTATGAGGTTTAGTTGGGATATGAAAATGCAACCTGAAGATTTGATCAAACGTGCTGATGAGTTAATAAATAGATGCAGAAAAGTTTATGATCATGTAGGAGCTGTACCTGATAATGATGTTAGTTATGAAAGTGTTTTGAAGGTATGTGTCAGTATTTTAGTTTTATCTTTCTATATATATTTATGTGTGTGTGTTTATTTTATTTTGTCTAAATCTAAATATAAAATAGAATTTTTGGAACTGTGACGTTATATATTTCATGCACAGGCTTGATCTCTAAGGATATTTAAAGAGTAAAATAAAAGACCAAATCTTTGTATATATTGTTCTGATAAATTTGCCATAATTAAATCTTTTTAGTGTATCAACACTAGTTTCTTTTTCCAGTGTAGAATATATGTAGTAAAACTATTTATTTAGTATTAAAAATATGACATATAATTTTATTATTTGCATTAAATTATATGTATTAACTCTCTGACATTTTATTTTCAATAATTGATTTAAATTTTTAATATGTAGTAATTCAGCACTTTGGATCGAGGCTTGCTGAATAAAAGTGACGTATTTATATTTCAAGGAAAAAGCAATGCATTTTTGTAATGAAGGTGAATTTGTTGGTTGGTTGTCAACTTGTATTTTTTAAACTAAGCTTTTTTTTTTCTTAAAACAAATAACTAAAAAGATTGCATGAAATGAAACAAAATTGAACTTCCAATCAATTTCCCTACTTTTATCAGCTAAAAAAATAAGTTTCATTATACTCTAGCAGAAAATTCGTTTGCTAATCAGGTGAGTCGAGCTGAAAAATATCGGAAACAAAATTAGCTTAAGCATAAGTGTAAATCTTGGCTCTAGTGTAGAATTGGGTGCCCCTTCGATTAGCGACAATTTTTTATAAAATTTTGACGATGAAATCTTATTTTTGGTTACCATGATAGTGTAACTTTGCTTTAGCCTCCTGATTTTGGAACTACTCTGATATGCGGCCTCAAGTCGCCACATTTCTCGCCAAACTTCACGCTGCCATATTTCACGCTGCCATATTGCTATCTAAATTTCACACGCTGCCATATTGCTATCTAAATTTTTTGTCTACATTTCGAACTTTAAGCCTAAAATGTCTCCAAAAACACGGTTGTTTTTTCATCCGCAGAGAACCCGTTGGCGCCGTTGCATTTTTACTCGCCAAGCTCGCGGTTCATCAGCGATGAGCCGAGCCGCAAACGTGATATTTTGTAGACGTGATTTTTAGTGCATGTAAATTCAAGTTAGCAGACAAAACAATACATTAAGCATATAGTAGTAAAAATTCACAGATTATAAGCATGTAGATGTAAAACTAACTTGTTAAGCGTGATATACGAAAATTGTATTAAATTCAAGTTAGCACAGAAAAGAATATATTAAGTATAAGACAATATATAAGCATTTATAACGGAAATAAAAATTCATTTGAAAAAAATATAAATTAGTATTATGTACTGAAATTAACCTGTTAAACGTGATAAACAAAAAAAAAATTGTCTTAAATTCCAGTTAACACAGAAAACAAAACAATATATTCCTTACACCAGCAGTGGTTTGCTAGTTTTGATGACCATGGTGATGCATCGTATTATTCTGTCATCTTAGATAATCAATAATTTTTTATTTCAATTTAATTTTCTATTTATGTCACACCTGCCATCCTCTGAAAGGTTATTGTTAGAAAAGCATTATTAACAATATATTATCTTGTTAAAATTTTACGCCAGAAAATTGATTTATTCTCATAATTTTAGATGACAATAACCAATAATAAAAATAAAAGCATTACTTAGTTATTTAAAATTGCTGGTTCTTAGAGCTGTTAATAATTAAGAACACAACGGGAACAGCCGTGTTACAAATTAGCATTCACCCCTCCCGCCGTATTTTCTTCCTTCATCCCGAAACCGAGAACCGGCATCTATCTACGAAAATATTTCTATCTATTCGTTGTTAAAAAAATTCAGAAAAAATAATAATAAATAAGAGAAGAATAATATAAATCTGCAAATGCGAACAACGACAGTGATAATTCAACAAAATGAACCCAAGAGGAATGGTTGCAAACTTCGAACAAGCGAATAGGATAAATGCGCTGGGTTACCAGGTTTGAACTTTTATCGCCGAAGTTGGCGATGTTTACATTTACCGGGTTCTCTGCGGAAGTGCTTCCACACGGTTTTCGCACATGCAAAAACTACGTTTTGAACACGATTTAAGCTAAAAATCCGAAACAAAAACAAAAAATTTAGATAGCAAAAACGTAAAGTTTCTAACCAAAAATATTTGACAAGAATCCATGTACACAGTGACATGTTTTAACTTAAAAAAACATCTACGAATGGCACACTGTAGGCAACGAACGAATCTACGAACTACGCACACCTCGCTTTAATAAATTAACATAGCAACAATAAATTTCAAAGAATACTATGTACACAGCGTTCTGTTTCAACTTTAAAAAACATCTACGAATTGTACAATCTACACTAAAAACAAATCAAGAAAATAAACTAAAATAAATTTCAGACAATTAAAAAAAACAACAATAAAAACGGAAATTCACACAAAAAACAATGAATATAACATTCTACATAATAAAAACAATAAAATAAAATGCACTTACCATAATGAAAGCTTCTTTTAAAAGCAGAAATATCTTTCCCCCCTATCTTCTCAGATACAGAGCATACAAAGTCCAAAATACATTCGTTAATAAAATTTCGCCAGTCACACAACGTCTGTGAAGAAAACTTCCACGATTTTGCTATATCACATGCCTTCCTATGATTCAAAATTCCAAAAGTAACAAAAACTTCCTCCAACGTTAACTTGCTACACGAAAACCAAGTTCCAAACCTTAAACTCCGCTGACACCCATATACTTTATTTGCAACAATTTTACTGCAAACCCAAACAAGTCTATCAGAAACACCATTTTTCGTCTGAGTTCTCGTATCAGCTCCGCATTTCGGACACGTCAAACTCCGTTTTAAAAGTCCCGACTCCCACAGAAATTCCAAAAATACACTACAATCCCCATAAATACATCCGTGAACAAAAGACACAACTCCAAATCGTACTTTCATACTAAATTTACTCTGCACACAATCTAAAATACGCGGCTGAAACCTTCCCACCACGTCTTTCATCGCAACATAGGCCATTTCAAAAACACATGCGACACGAACCAACTAGCAATTATTAAACTACTCCACTAAAAGATTTTTCAATGTCGACATGGTTGCCATACAACACGCAATCGTGCCAAAAACCAGTGCAAAACATATATCGCCACATTTGGTGAAATTAGGGCGTTTATCAGAGTTATATCCTGATTTTTTTAAAATAAAAATAGATTGATGTGTACATGGACATAGAGTTTATATGCAATTCTTTGACTTTTTATTTTGGTTTTGTGTAGTGGCCATCTTGAAATTGTGTCTTCCTGGCGCCTATCTTGGTGTCAAAAAAGAATCGCCAAAAAACAAGGGACACCAAATTGTAAACTTTTGTAATTTTTTTATTTCTTGATATTTTAAATTTTACTTGCTTTTCTAAAATGATTACAAAAAAGTAAACTGTAGATTAAAAAAAATGAAATTAATGCAGTTAACACTACTCACTTACATCGCGAAGATGTTATGGAGAACTATTCAAAATTATTTATTTATGTAATTCTTTAAAATTCAGTACAGTATTTCAATACAGTAACTTTAAATTTTTTAAAATTTAATACATTATTTCAGTTATGTTTTAAATAGGAACAGATCGCTTAATATGGTACTGATTAATCTTGTATATCTGGTAATCTTTATATATATATATATATAGTTAGCAGCTAAAGTGAGTGTCGCCGATAGTTTATTGTTGCCACTCGGAAAAATAAGTGCGGAAATTAACGTTTATGCAATTTTTAATTAATATCTTGGCCGATTAAAGTCATATGAAGACGAAAATGGTATCGATAGATTCGGAGAATTTTTTGGAATCCGTGGATACGCAACTCGTATTTCAACTCGGCACCATTCCGTAGATATTCGAGAAAAAAGAATTTGTCACATAGCCAAATTCCTGTAATAGGGAAAACCCAAGGAGGAAAGTAAAAAATGTAAGGAAAACATAGGGGAACATTAGTTTTTTAATTAATATCTTGGCTAATTAAAGTCCCACGAAGATGCGAATGGTCAAAAGGGCGTGCTACGGACCTGCGGAATCCAACGGTGTGCTTCGCTAAGCCCGGGAGCCAGCCGTTTTGAAGGAGATGATGTTACTTCACCCCATATATATATGCTGCTTAAGTGTCTGTTTGTCGCCGATAGTGTATTGGTTGCTTGCGTAATTGTACTAGCCAATGGGGCGAAGTTGCCACGGCACAGAGTTGCTGTTTCAATTGAGACGTAAGACAATTTCCTGTAAAACTTACCTTTACTCTATGACCATCAATAAGTCCCAGGGCCAAACGCTTAAGCGTGTTGGCATTTTTTACCTGAGCCTGCATTTGGACACGATCAACTTTATGTTGTAGAAGTAAAATTAAAAATAATTGATAGTCCTCTGCAAGGCGAGCTTAAAAATGATGGAAAGATCTACACAAGAAATGTGTACAAAGAGATCTTTGACATGTGAATAAACATTTTATTATTTAAATCACCTTTATTTATTGAGCTAGCGGTAGTTCTTAAGAAATGTACCACCAGTGGTTTCCTTCATTGCACTCTACTTTAAGCAATTAAGCAAGTAGAAGGGGGAAACTCCATGGGGCAGTAAGCAAAGGGACGTCCTCTCCGCCAGCCCTGGGTAATTCAGTTTGAATTTCATTTTAATTACAATTTATAATATCTAGAACAGCGGTCATTTCATATGACTGCCGGGCTTTCTAGTTTTATATATGATGAGTAAGTCATCAGCAGAAATGGGACATTTCTTTAAGTATAAAAGGATGTGTATTCTGAGCCTCTTTTTTCTTGGGGGGGGGAAGATAAGGACTGATTTCTTCTATAGTATTTAAAATATGTCAAATTATAAATTTCTTTAATTCTGTGTATGAAAAAATTTAAATTAGAACCAAGAACAAAATTTTAAATTTCATTTTTTCTTTCTTAATTACACTTTTCATCATTGTTTTGAATTCTCATTCAGGGCTGGCATCAGAACCAGAGTGGCTGTATGGGGTTGTAAAATGTTTGGTAAAATTCTACTCTACCCTTGGCAAATCGTTTCTTTTTTGATGCCAAGATCGGCAGCAATTTCAAGATGGCCGCTACACAAAACCAAAATAAGAAATCAAAGACTTACACAAACTCGGTTACACACACACACAAACTTGCACAAACTCGGTTATGTATACATTGACTTATTTTCACTTAAAAAAAATATTTGAGAATTGCACATACTGGGCATTGTGCACTGCCTTAACTTTGTCCATGTACGCATCAATTTATTTTCACCTAAACAAATCAGAAAGCTAAAACAAAGTTAAAACTATCATGGTAACCAGAAAAAATTCACTGCTGTCTTAACAGACAGAGACAAACAAACAATGAAAAATATGCAGAGAGGAATAAATAACCAAAAGTACATATTTCCTAGCATAAAAACATTAAACAAAAATTAACACACAGAGATGAATAAATGAAACATCAATTTTTTAATATACCTTTTTTTCACGTGCATATGTTGAAGCTTCCCGCCACCATCTCCATCCTCCAGGTAAGCAATTCAGTTAAATTTTTTCGTTGTTTCGTTTCATCCACTGTTAATCAACATTCATCCTCTTGGTCACCTCACACATACTCAAATGATGGTACCCATGCATGTGCAAGCAAACACAGCAACTGAAAAGAATAGTAAGAACCAAAAACCCACTTCCATATGAAAGGGTTGCTATTACAAAAAAGTGCAGCGGACTTCACAGATTTCATGAACAACCAACACTGCTTGGAAATTTTTCAAAAAAAAAAAAAAAAAAAAAAAAAAAAAAAAAAAAACCACCAAGGGCTACTGTATATTAAAGATAAGCCAAATTTTTAAAATTTAAGAAAGCACTGGATGGCAGAATTTAGGTGCCAGAAAGATTGTACCAATTAGTAAAATGCCTAGCACTGACTCTACTCTCATTGGCAGTTATCATTCAGCAAAGCCTTGATTTGTAAACTAATGCTAATTTGCATGGTCACTTTCTGCTTCTTTGTGAAGGTCACATTTAAAGCTCTTTCTGTTATGTGAATAAGGTCCTTTTAATTATTGTAGGCATGGTAATGTTCTTGGTTGTGCATCCCCCATTGAAAAGCCATGAACTTGTTGCCGAATTTGGAGAGCATTTCAACTTGTTGACAACTTTGAAGAGAAATGTTTGCTTGAGTATCTTTGTCTCTGTTTCAGTGATGCACCTCATATGTTTTTATCTTCTTCTTTTTCCATAGAAGAATATCTCCCTATGTATGGAATGATCTGTTTTTCCAAAAAAGAACATTGGAGAACTGCACAAATGCGACACTGCATGCACCCATTGCCATGATTCCCCAAGAACAATTAAATGTACACTCCAAAGAAATACTCCAGTGTAATGAAATTAAAAGTGGGCAAACTCCGAAGTTCCATTACAGTTTGTTACTACAAAAACAAATGCTCTAGATGTGAAAAGAAATACTGATAAGAAAAGTCTGTTGAATTTCAAAAGTGGCAGTTTATGTGTCTAAAACACATATAGTCTATGCACATATCTGTGTGGCTGCATGAATACTTTTTGACAATATTGTGGGTTGCCACAGAAATATATTTTGAGGACAGGGTGCATTGCCTCATTATTACTTTATGTGGCTTTCTGGTGAGGGTGCAAATAATCTGAAAATACATTTAATTGCATTAGTTTAATTTTACCACTGTAATTTAATTGATTTAGGTTTATAACAAAGTTATCAAAATATTTTAGTTTTTATTATTATTAAATTATTTCTTTTTTTCCTTGAAAAAATTAAATCCTCGGTTTAAACTATAAGTTCATGTCTTATAAAATGCATAAACTGAAATCATGAAAATAAAACATAGAAAAGTCAAATTGGTATTTTAATAGAAAAATAGTAAATTATTAAATTATTTCTTAAAGTATTTTATATAATTTGAATTGCTGATATCTTCTGCATTGAAAAGAATTGGAGGCAGTTGAGACTATATTGGAAGTTTCTCTCAAGTTTCCAATTTTGGGAATCATGCCTTGTTAGAAACCTTTAGAAATTCTTAACTAACAATCTGCTAATATAATTTCTTTAAAATAAAAGTTAAAAACTTAAAGTCTTTTTAATCTAATTCATGTAATTTTTATTTTTGAAGTTTTAAATGCTGCATGCTGTTCTTGAGAAATAAGTCAGCAGGATTTTTGTAAATATTCCAGTTATTTAGAAAATACTTTGGAAGTATAAAAAATGTTTGAAAACATACAGAAAATATACTATGTATAATCTGCCTGCTGTAAAAGTGTTCTTTATTTATAACAACTGCAAGTTGTCGATTTTGATGACTTGTTAGGAAAGTCACCAGAATATTGATATTTGATATTTGGCAAGCATTGTTAAATATATTTAACAAAACTTTAACTATTTAAAATAAATTTTAAGTTTTAAATAAGGATTATGTCATATCTTTAAAAAATAAAATATGTACCTTTTTTGAGAAATACTTCATTAATTTGTTTGCAGTCTTGCTCTCTGCATGTACATAATGACCAGTTTTTGCTATAGAAAAACATTGGAGAATTGCACAAACTTGACATCGTGAATAACCTCAGTATTGTGCACCTGTCATGATCTCTATCACACAGGAAAAACTGAAACTTTAACATATACTCCAATGAAATATTCCAGCATAATGAAAATAAAAGTGAGATTCTGCTTCCATTATTTAAAAATTACAAATAGTAAACAAAACCGAGAATAGATCACAATCCCTTGGATTCGAGTTGAAAAAGAAAAAGGTTCCCAGAACCATATCGTTAACTATAAATGGTTACCAGAAGATCAGTAAAAGTAAGAAGTAAGGTACCAGAAAAAAAAAAAAAAAAAAACATTATCCAAACATCAGAAGAGCTCTGAGTATTCTAGCTGTTAACTTATTTTCTTCTTTCAAAAAATAAATAAATAAAAAAACTATTTAATTTACCAAGAAGTGAAAAGTTGTTGTATCTTTCTTCCTAGAAAAACACATTTTATCTTGCATCTGAATATGTAAAAAGGGTCATTAAATAAAATTAAGTATCATTGTTATGGATTTGGAGATGTAACATGAAAAGTTTCAAGTGAAGGAAAATCATACATTTTTGGCAACGGATTTAGTGATATCAGAGTATTGTTTACAGTGATTTATTTACTGTTCACCAGAGGAATAGACGTTGACTATGGTGAGAAAAGAAATTCAGTCTTTTTGAGAATGCAACTATTCACTGGAACAGCTTTCTGAGATGTATGTGCTCCACATCTAATCCAGGAATAAAATAAGTGAATAGTTGGATCTTAAAAAACTTAAGAAATACACACAAAATATAGGCTGTGGTACTTTCTCAAGTAGTGGAATAAAAATCAATGAGGCAAGTTTCACCATCATCATGAAACTGAAGATTCTCGTAGAGTTTGTGTAGTGAAAGTCATGGGATGAGAAAATATTTCCTATGCCATATGAAAAGCAATCTTGGAAATATTGCCAAAAAGGCTATATGAAAAGTAAATATGAGCTTGTCAATTATCCTGACACCAATTTGGCATTTAAAAAATATTGGTTGCAGTATTGAGAAAGTACCATGGTACCTTCTGCTTCTTCTGAACTTGCTTTCATAAGCATATAGTAAAGTGAAAGGATGTTTCTAATTGATAACTAAGGGTGTGTCGTCTTTGAAAAGTATTCTGTTTAATGCATGATACAGTAAAGTTTGTTAAGTAACAGAATTGTAACTGTTAAGTTTGTAAAGTAACAGAAGAGCAAAACTGAGAAAAATCTAATTTTGTTTGGAATGCTAAGAATTTTCAGTCACTAACAATTTGCTCCATTTTATTTCCAGGTTTTAGGAGAAATTGAATGTGAATATACATCTGAAAGATATATGTGGGATTTTCCACAATCCGTATCAACTGATCAAGCAATCCGTGATGCCAGCACAGAAGCAGATCATAGGCTGCAGGCTTTTGATGTTGAGATAAGGTAGTGTAGCTTTAAAATATTTTGTATTTGGGTACAGTAAGCACTGCTTAATGTGATAATATTTTTTTAGCTATTTTGATAATATTTAATAACAAGAAAAAATATTCTTCAGAATAGCAATGAAATGTAATTAATTTAATATAAATGAGACTTTAAACTTATAAATAGGCTTTTTTCAGAGTGTTTGAACTGGGAAAATAAAAAAGTTTGTTTTCTGGAAATTATTTGATCGATGCTATACTTATCTTAATATTCGAAGGGCATCTTTCATTGGAAGATAACCTGTGGATGTGAAATTTAAAATTAGACAAAAAAGCAGCTTTAGTTTGGCTTAGATGTTTTCAGGGGAAAAAATTCTGCAGTCTTTTTTTCCTTCTAAAAAAGATGGATCTGTGTCTCGCTTCAAAATCAAACATTTTTTCTTTGGGAATTTCTTTAACTCTTTTAGAGATTTCAGATTTAATGATTATCTTTCCAAATGTGAAACCTTTAAAAAACTTTTATTTCTAATCCAGGTGTAAAGAGATTTTTGAAAAATTATCACAATGTTTTAAACCCTACTTGAAAATAAATTGACTTAAAGTAAAAAATGTGTGGCAACTTTTGTTATAAATTGTGCCACACAGTTAAATTTAATCATAATTTTATATGATTTCTATGATATTTTATATTTTTTATTTCCTTAATTTCAAAGTTTTATTTAATTAAAATTTTTTTGTTCACTTTTTGTGAAAAGTAAAATGTTTAATTAGAATTTGAAATTTTGTTTTTATTAGATAAAATGTGAGTTTTTGTTAGAATTTTTATAGCTAACCACTGGTTATGATGCTTCTCTAAAGATCAATGTAAAGCACATTATATCAGATAATTGTTGTATAGAATGGGTCGAAATAATGGCCTAAAAGTGATTTATCAGTGTTACTTTCCCATATTTTAAGTAACAATTTAATTATCATTGTAATTATGCTAAAAAGTTTCTACATAATTTCATATTTAATCTATAAAAAGTAAAAGTGAATTAAAAATTTTTAGGTATTTGCATATTATATCGTCCACCGTGAAACTGACTCCAAGCAGCATGATTTAGCACCATTTATGGATAAGTGACATCACAAAACTCATAACATCTGCACTTTTGTTTAATGTAACCCTGAACTGATTCTAGCCACTTTTAGTTTTTATGACTAGGGGTATAAATTAACGGTACTTTTCCGTTATGCCGGTGCAAATCTCGCCAAGCAGACTTTATTGGCGATAACATACAGTATACACATAAAAAATTTTTAACAAATGTTAGTTCTTAAGAATTTTTTATTTTGAAGGCATAAATATTTTAATATTGTTTAAAATTTTGTATAAAGCCAATAAATAAAGACTATAAATTTGTAAAAAAGATATTAATTTGAGAATTTAGTATGGTTTTATGGTTCAACATCCTGATTCGCCGGTTCATATCGCGTGACCCCAAGTGATCTCATCTCACGTAAACTACGCTACAAAAATCTACAGTCTTTTTCTGAAAATAAGACATCCTCCGAAAATAAGCCCTATCGTAATTTTTGGAACTTTTTGTAAAATAAGACATCCTCCGAAAATAAGCCCTATTGTGATTTTCGGAACTTTTTGTAAAATAAGACATCCCTCGAAAATAATCCCTAGTTAAAATAATGTGACAAAAAGAATTCGTTAAAATATGCTGTTGATTATTAAGTAATAATATGTTTAGCTTTCCTAATACTCATATTTCAGAGAAATGTTTGAAACAAAATATTCCGAGAAATTAATTGTTTACCTCTACAGTTCATTTCAAATTAATTCTTGGAGTTTTTCTTAACCAGTTCACTGTTTGCCCTGAGAGAGATACGTTCACAGGAAAGGCATCGTCATCCGTTAGCGTCGGCAGACACTCGTCGGGGTGAAATTTGGGCTGAACCGTAACCCCCGAGACACATACGACGCAGCGACCTTTTTCCAACCCCCACAGAATGAATCAAAAATCAAAAGGGGTGATTGATGAGTTACTTATCTTCTCAGCGGTGTCGCATTAGGATCACAGTGGGGCTGTTTCAGGAAAGTAAAGGATGGGGACACTTTCTTCGAATAGCTACCCCCTCAACATATCTTACGAGATCCACAACAGCTTTCTCCCTTTCTATTAACGAACAAAGGGATTCTTAATGATTCAATTCTTTTCTTTTGTTACAGGCCATCAAGAAAATAATAAAATAAAATTCAAGGACATTTCAAATACTAGCTAATGCCCTTATTTTTACTTTATATAAAGCTTTTTCTTGACAATTAAAAATTATATTTACATTGTAATAGATTGCAATAGATTTGGGGTTGGGTGCAAAGGGAAAAATATCTGCTCTAAGGACCACACCAGTCCTTGTGTGTCTTATGTTGCCCCTTAGGGGGTCGTTATTCACCAATCCTTCAGGATCAGATGTGACAGGTACGCTGTTGAATCTGATTTGAACAGAACTTCTAAATAGGCTTTTACAGGTGGTGAAAGTGGGAAAGAAATACTCTGAGCCCAGTTTTAGACACAAAAAGTTTATCTTTGGATGCGAAACATATCACGAAATGTTTGCGATTTTTCTAATGGCGAACTGGTTAAAAATACAACATAAGGCAGCAGTCTACATTGAGTGACAGTGCAGGTATACAACGTTCATTCATTTCAGTCTTGTAAGTCTGATTATTTCCTCATACGTAATTTTATTTAAAAATAAAGTGAATAATTTTAACCCCAGTTAAAATGAGTACAAAAACAAAAGAGCTATTCTGTCAAGTACAAAAAGGGAATCGTGAAGACTCCAGGGGTGTAAATCTTGTAGCATTCTGTAAAGAGAAGATGCTGGATCTCCGTATGGTTTGTAAATGGCGTGCAGAGTACAATTACCTGTGTCAACTGGTGGACCAAGGAAATGATAAAAAACACAGATAAAAAACAGGCTACTTATACAAGAAGTATTCATTTAACGATAGCTATATCGCAAGACATGAGAGATTCAGACCAATGATTCAACAGGAAATGGATTTAGAAGAAATCAGAATATAATTCAGAATTTTATTTATGACGATGTTCCAGAAGAAGATGACATGACTGTAATTGAATAAATTTAAATTTCTGTATTCTGTGTAAAATAAATATTAAATAATAATATATAAATATATTTTTATTTTTGCCCTCCCCCGAAAATAAGCCCTAGCGCGTATTTTGGACCAAAAAAGAAAGTAAGTATTTTCAGAAAAAGACGGTAATTCTCTCAGTAATTATCTACATTAATTTCAAGTTAAATCTTAATTTGGAATACAAGTTTAAATGAAAGAATTATTTCAATTTGTACGAATAGCTTACTCAGAAATTACGTAAAACAGCAGTGCTTTACTTCGCTAGTGCATTCTTATTAGAATTGATAAATTTAACCCTTGACTTTGCTTTTTTTATATTTTCGCCTTCGAGTGAGCAGTGTGATTGCATCCTAATTGACTTGATTACCGCGAATGGCCTTAAGGAATAAAATTGAACTATCTGGTAAAACTTCTATGTAATTGTATGCCAGTATTGAAAGAAACAATCAACCTGATAAGAAATAGCTGTGACTTGTTTTGAAAATGAGGCATAAAAGGTTATCAGCGATGATATTCCGTTTGGCATCAGTTGTACTATTAATGGCGACTTTATTGCCTGCGTCGGCAAAACAGAAAAGTACCAAATTAACTGCTATTTGTGTATTTTTTACCTGCATTATATATATATATATATATATATATATATATATATAAGAGCTCCAGGGTTGTTCCAGTTCATTTGCTGCTGGTGGAGAAAATTAACTTCTGTTGAATGGGTAAAAGAAGAGATGCTCATGGCCAACCAAAAAATACTGTATTTTCACTATCATGCGATGTGTTTTTGATAATTGTAATAAAAAAAATTGAGGTGCACTGCTTACACAAAACGAAACAATATTGGCCAGGTAAATGCAAGTCGTTTGGCATAAATTATTTATTTTAAAAGCTAAGCTGTCCCCAGAAAATATAACATTATGTGATATTACCCTCAAAAATAATAAGTTTGGGCCAGGGATTTATAGAGGATATACTGGTACTTTTAATTAAACTGTTATTGCCTAAATGGTTTTTGCCAAACTTGGGGTTTTGGTCATAATATTGGCAGCAGCACTGGAAAAAATGTACATGGAATGTATGGCTGCTGAAAATCATGCACTGACACCGACTGGTTGCATCAAGAAGTCCAATATAATTCGAATCTGTGGATGGATCAAAGCTGCCTTGGATGAAACTTCACAAGAACTTGTTGTTAAGAGCTTCAAAAAGTGCCGAATGTCAAACAGCATGAATGGAAGTGAGAATTAAGCAGAGTGGGATGCTGAGGAAGAAAAGAATATCGGCAGTTTAAAAAGCATCAGTGATGACAGCAGCGCAAGAAGACGAAGATTTACAATCTACATTGTGTTTCCACACTAAAAAAGTGAGAAGTGCCATGGTGTGATAAGTTTTCTGTCTTTGTTAGATTGCCGGTAGATTTTAAAGCATCAGTCGAGACTTTTAAATCCATATTTGTTTCTGACTGAAGCTATTGTTTAACGAATAAAATTTTATATAACATACTTACATTAGCAGTTTTTTCATTCTGCCATAGAATTGAGTTCTGCTAACGATTTATTTCCTTCCATTAAAATGTTATTGGGCATGTGTTGCTATGTACTTAGGCGGGAGCTGCGAAAGCTGCAGGTGGTAGCTCAGATTTCTTTCCTGATAACCATCAATCGGTATCACATTTCTTTGTTTCTTTATGTTCGTAATCCGGAAGAAAGATTTTTTTCTGTAGATTAAGCTTTCAGTGGGTGTGATAAAAATATGTGAGCCATATTCGTGGGCATTTTTTTATTTTTTGGTGTATTGAAAAAAATTTGGGTGTGCGTCTTATCCGTGCATGGTATTCATGAACGTACAATAATACATTTTAACAATAACCTGTGAAAAAGTTTTACTCGTAACACTCTAAACAGAGATTCTAGTAAAACTTGAGGGCCTGACAAAATAGAAGTCAATGAAATTTACACTTTTTACAAAGTGCAAAAAGAGCAAGTCGAATATTTCTGCAGCAGTGGCTGTTTGGTGGATTGCACAGAGACACTGGCAAATGTTTTATCGTTAAAATTGCAGATAAAAATTCAGCTCAGAATTCTGTGGAAAAGATTGGCACAATTTTGGTGGCAACTTTTGCAGGAGCTTTGTTTTATTATAAAATTTTTCATGTTAAGTGGTTTTAGATATCCTAAGTGCTGATTTAGCCATTTTCAAAAGTTATTAATTAATATAAAATAACCGCATAATTTTTTTTTTCTTTTTAGAAGGAATTTCACAGCACTCTAGTAGCAATTTAATGCTCTCTTTGATGATATTTTTTTGTTGATCTGTTCATTAGAAGGAGAACATTGTTTGTTGAGAAGTAAGCAAATTTGCAATAAAATTATCTTCTAGAAAGTTTTTTGCATGTTAAATATTTTTATCAGACGCAATGTGATCTTCAAACATAAAATACAAGTCAGAATGAATGCAGTAAGAAAGCATATGAGGTCTATCTGCCTAAGGGAAGGAATGTTTTCATGAAGGATTTTTTTCAAGGCAAATTGGCTGATATTTATTTTACACATATGAAAATCCACAAAAATGGTCATGCAGCCAGCTCATACACCAGGATTTAAACCTGGTTTGCACTACTGGCATTTAGCAACTTCATCACTTGGTTGCTGGTGAGCCTCGTTAAGTATAGATATTAATGAATTTTTTTCAAAACTGTTAAGAATGCCACATGGAAAACATTGAGACCTACCGAAGAAACAACCGTGCTACAGTAACTATGATATTTTCCAGTACTTGTTCTGTTTCAAATATATAATATAATAATAAAAAAATATTTTGCCTAAGGATGCTTATGAGAAGGATTTTGTAGGGGAGGTTGGCTCATATTCGCAAAGACCGCTTAACTGCTGGTAATTGCGTAAATTATTGCCCGTGGAACATATTTTGTGCATTCTAGAAAATACAGTCAAATACTGAAAATCCGCCGACCTGAAATCCGTCAACTCCTGAAATCCGCGTTGCCTCTCAAAATATAAACATTCAGTTATTCAGTTTATAGATTCTGGAAACCGCAGCATTGAGTACGAAATATCGAAGAAAAAATACTTACTGAATAATGACGTCATAATTACCGAATAATAATGAGTCATAACGGAAATACCAAATTATTGACATCATCATAAAAGTTTTCCCCCCTCTAATCTGCATCGAGGTAAAAAAGCAGACGATTCACTCAACTCTTCTTTCAAGTTCATGATTCACGTTGTTGTATTTTCTGAGCTTTGTTATTTCATGAGATTATTTAGTGCTGCCTTTTTTTAATCCAGATATTTTGTGGATAAATTAAGAGTATATTAAATTTCATCCCTTTCTAATACAATGACAGATAAGAAATGCACTCATAATTTTACTGCTTGCAACGTTGAAAAACATAATAACGTTGCATTGACGGTAATACAAAAAGTGCAAATTCTGCAAAGATGGAGGCGGGTTCCACTCCTCGGTTTATAGCAGAATCATATGGAATTGCGACATGATTGTGTATGATATACGAAAAAATAAAGAAAAGCTGTTGAAATTTTACAGCAACAGTGATTCTAACACCGGAATCCGAAACCGGAAATCATTGCATCAAACGAAATCGGCAAACCTTGATGCTGTGTACATATAATACAATGAATAATATAATCAATTTATATATGTAATAATAATAATTTAATGCATATAATAAATTATTGCAAAAATGTATATAATAATTTAATTAAATGTATCTAATATGCTTATTTACTACTTTGCACACAATCATGTCGCAATTTCATATGAGTCTGAATATTATGATTTATCTTTTCTGTCCTAAAATCCGCAAAATCTTAAGATCCGCACAACCTCTGGTTCCAAGCCTTGTGGATTTCTGGACTTCTATTGTACTTTTAACTATCTTAAAAGTAAATTTTACATATAAAAATTGCATCTCTTTTTTTTTTTTATATACCGTATTTGACGGCATATAAGACGCACCCGTATTTAGAAAGCCACACACAAGGAAAAAAAGTTTAAATAGTCCGTGCGAGAGCACTGTACCACAATAACTTAAAATGTGGTTTCTTTTAGTTCTCATGTTTCGTAAAAGCCAAATAAACAATCATTGAATGCAATTACCAAACATGTTTTTATTAAGGAAAATTAACAAACGGCAAGCTATTTTGAACATGATATGTCAAGAGCATTACTGATTCCGCACTTCTTAAAAGACTTAACAATTACTTCAGCCTTTACATCCTCCCAAGATCTTTTTACTCACTTGCACACTTGTGAAATAGAAGGCCGCTTCATTCTACCTGAGGGTGTGAGGGCGTGATGTGGCTCTCCTATCCACTTGTTCCATCGTTCTCGCACTTTTTCCTTAAATGGCTTATTCACCGATACATCTAAAGGCTGTAATTCGCTAGTCAGTCCTCCAGGAATAATAGCTATGTGGGTTTTTAATTCTCTCGCTTTATTCTTTATGGTTTCAGTTCTATGGGTGCTAAACTGATTCAAAACCAAAAGAGAGGGTTTTTCTTAAGAGTCCACCAGGTCGCCTCGCACATACATTCTGCAACCACAGTTTCATTCCAGCTTCGTCCATCCAGCCTTTCAACATGAACAATTACACCCATTAGAAGTTTTCTTTCGGATGAGTTTTTCTTTTGAATATGAAAAACAGCGGTAGTTTTTGTGCCATCAGCACAACATGTTAGAACTATTGTATATCGGGTTTTTTCATGACCTGTGGTTTTTATGATTATTGATTTAGACCCTTTAATACTCAACAGTCTTGTTGGATGATACATCAAATGTGAGTGGAATTTCATCCATATTTCCTGTTTGACCGAGCTCAAAAGAAGTTTTCTTGCGTGCATTTATAACAAACCTATGAAATGCTAGTATTTTTTCTTCATAATCAGCTGGCATTTTCTGTGCAATAGTTGTTTTTGTGCGCATTGATAAGCCTTGCCTTTTCATAAACCTGTAGCACCAGCCCTCAGACCCTGAAAAATTCTGATTCCCATGTTTTTCTGCAAATCCTTTGGCCTCATTGATTATCATTTTCGTTGAAAATTAATCCTAGATTTCCACTTATTTATCACCCACATTTTTATGGCATTTTCAAGTTCAGGCCAAGATGGAACTGGGCATCGAAGGTTATGTTTTTGTTTTTTAGCAGTCTTCAGTTGATCTTCCTACAGTCGCCAAGTATGTATCATTTTTTTGGTAGGTGGTAGCCCGAAATGCCTTGCTGCTGCTCTGTTTCCATGCACTATGGCGTAGTTTAACACTCTTAGTTTATACTGAATTGTATAGTTTAATCTCTTGTTTCTTGTAGTCATATTTTCCAGGGTATTTTTTTTAAACAAATAGTTTTAAGCACCGGTACTGACACGTTTATACAGAGTAGCACCGATACCGACACGTGTGTCAGCTGAGTCAAAGAAAATCTATGTAAAGAAGGAAAGGCTCCATAGGCGTAATGTGACTGTCGAACCAAGTTCGAACTTCGACATCAGCTTCGAGCTTTGGTGCTTTTTGGCGACAGATATTTCACGCATGCGCAAAATAATTATGGCAGATGTAGAAAAACTTGTGTGTGTCTAGACCTTTATCTGGGCTAAAAATGGCATTCAGTATTGAAAGTTAACCTGTGTCCTTCATGTATAAAACACAGGTAACTTTTTTGAGACCAAATTTAGGAAAAAAAGTGCGTCTTAAATGCATCAAATATGGTATTCTTTCTTCATTTCAAATTAATTTTTATATCTGTGTAGTATGCGACAAGATGTCTTCAACAAGCTGCTCATTGTGGAGAAGAAACAGGAACTTATGAAACCAGAGGCAAAGCGGTTCCTTGAAAGATTAATCAAATTGGGCAAAAGAAATGGTTTGTATTTCTTTTTACTCTATCATTTTTTTAATTATTCATAATTATTGCCATTCATTATGAACTAAAAACTCTACCTTATAAACCTATGAAACAAACATAAAAACATGTTTATGTTTGGTACTTTTTTGTTAAGCTCTGACATTCATTTTTTGCCTTTTTTTTTTTTTTTTTTTGGTTTTCTTTTCTCACACATTTCACTCACAAAGTGAAATGATTAAGAACTGTAATTAGGAAACATTTTGTAATTCTGTGATAGAATCCACCAGATACTCACTATAGCTAACATTTATTTTCCTGAATAAGCTTCCATCAATTTCCATGATTTTGTTGTGTCCATCAATTTTAACATTAAGACAAGATAATAGGGTATTGACATATACACTGGTTATCATAAATTAAGGAAAAATAACAAAAATCACAATTACTGAAAAAGTTACATGTAGAATTTAATGAAACTTACCCACAATATACAACACATAGTAAGGTATCAAATAACATAAAAAGAAATTACCAGACAATTATGGTAGTATAGAAATTAGCACATGTATAAAATGAAGAATTCCAAGGTGTCAGTTTGCTATAGGAAAGTACATTCAATATGGAATATGGTCGCCTCTAGAAGGAATACAGCACATACAGCGATGCGTGATGCTTTCAATTATGTGGTCTATCAGTTCCGTAGGAAGCGAGAGCCATTGCTCTTGCAAAGCAGTTGCAAGCGCGGCAAGGGTCTGAGGGGGCAGATTGAGAGCAAGCTAGACATCTCTCTAAAGCATCCCAAACGTGCTCGATAAGGATTCAAAGTCCAGGGATCGAGCTGGCCACTCCATGTGAATAATTGTTTCCTGTTGAAGATAATCATCTATGATGCGAGCCCTTGTGTGGTCTTGCATTGTCGTCCTGTAACAGGAAAGCCATCACCTATTGCCCCGGCACATGGGCGCACATAAGCACCAAGGATGTCATCTCTATAAACCGAAGCATTCACGGTTTCCATTGGAAAGACATGGAGGTCTGTGCGTCCACCCAAAGAGATGCCACCCCAAACACAGGACAACTGCCTCTTCCGTATGCATCTCTCTCTTTCACGGATGTTTGACATGGATGATAACGGGTTCCAGGTTCTCTCCATATCAAATAACCTGCCTGTCATCGTTTCTAGATTAAACCTGGACTCTATCCGTAAAGAGAACCACCCTCCATTGATCAGGCGTCCAGTAGACATGTTGTCGTGCCCACTGAAAATGGTCCCTCCTATGGCATGACGTGAGCGGCACACAAATGGCTGGTCTCCTTGCATACAGACCATCTTCGTGAAGCCTTCTACGCACACTTGACGCTGACATGAATCTTCTGGTGGCTGCAGCAAGGGAGGATCTAAGAACAGTCAGAGTAGCGGTTATTCCTGCGTGAACATAATGTCAAATATCGGTCATCGGCACTCATCGTAGCAGTTGGCCATCCTTGGCTGAACCTCCTAGATGCCGAATCTGTGGTTTGAATTTGTCCAAAGTTTATGAACCACAGAAGGACTCACATTTAGCCATCTGTCCACTTCTGTTTGACTTTGTCCTGCCTGTAGACTCCCAATAGCTCTCCATCACAGTTCTGCAGGCAAATGATGCCTGGAGGTCATTGTTAAGAATTGGCTATCTCAGGTTTCTGATGTCACTGTCACAGTGAAATATGTGGGCTTGCTCTCAAACATGGACTTTTATGCTCCTCGCAGATGACGTATTCCAAAAGCAGTGCCACTAATTTGCATATCGCAGTTTTACTCAGCTACTCTTACTTGGCAACATATTCAAATTTTACACGGTTTGGCTTATTTTTGAGGGAGTTAACGCTATTTTTGTGTTTTTTCCTTTATTTATGATAACCAGTGTACTATAGTGTGCAAATTAATTGGACAAAGTGACTTGCCAGCTGGCACCAGCCACTCTCTCAAAGCAATTTTATCTACCATAATGTCATCTGGATGTCTGCTTTTGAATATTTAAAACTGGCTTAGGCAGTAAATTGGGATTATTGCACCATTTTGTAAGCTTCTTTCTTTGAGAAGAGGGAATTACTTTTGCATATATTTTACGTACATTTTGCATTCATTCATTTTAGTGTACTAAAAATAGATTCACAGAGGGTGCTGCACATTTTTGTAACAATTTTGCAAAACTTTATATATAAGCAAACTTTAGAATTTTATTTTCTATTAATATGTTCAATCTGATATCCTTTTTGTTGAACTATTATATTACATCTTGATTTTCAAGATAAAAGTCCTTTTCTTAAAACGTCTAAGTTTATTCTTTTTTTCACTTCTCCTTCACAATCTTCCAGAGTCCCTCCAATGTTTTGGGATGCCGCTTATAAGGAACTTTTTTAAAAGTTCAGATGCACAGTAATCCATAGGAGACACATCAAAGGACTTGGGATGTATTTAAAGAAAATAGCTTCAATTCCAGTTTCATTTCTCATTTTTTCAAAAAAATAGAGCAGTAGATTTAGAAGTATGGCTTGGAGCCTTATCCATATGGAACTGAACACAGTGAAGATTATTTGAGTAAAGAGATGGGATTTCTTCTTTAAAAATAGGTTTTGAAATATATTTCTGATAGTTATTCAAATTAATTTTGACATTTTTTCTACTTTCCTTATTTTAAGTTTTCTGTTATAAGAGAATCCAGTAATAACAATAAAACTTTTCGAAAAACTTTCCTTGTTTTCTCTGAACTAACATTTAAGTCCCTTTCTCCTCTTTTTTGGTAGTAAATCGATCTTGTTATACTGCAATCAGATAAATATATCCAAGTCTCATCAATTGTAACTATATATTTCCATTTTTAACCTGCTAAATAATTTCATACAGCAATCTGCACATAGTCTTTCGCTGAGAAACATGTTTCGGCATTAGGCGATGAATGTGATTTTTTGTTTTGTTTTGATTAGCTTTAAGTCAGATTTTATAATTTTGTTCACAGTTCCTACAGAGATATTTAAAGATTTTGCAATAGCTCTTTAGAAAGGGGGGGGGGGCTGAATTTTCCTTTAAAACATGAGATGTGACTTAAGAGCTGTGCATACCTTTGTTGGGTATGCATTTTTTGCCTTTTTCTCAGTCAGATATAAACTTTTATGTTTATTTCTTTCATATTACTTATGCTACTTATTTTAATGCATAAATATTAAACCCATGCCTTTAACATCTTTTTTTTTTTTTTTTTTTAAATAATTGAATAAGAGTATTTCTCTTCAGACTGCTCAAAAGTATAGTCTTTGATCCATTGTTTATTTTTCAGTGACATTTTAAAGAAAAGAATATTTTTAATGCTGCAGACCATAATTAAACCTTATTCCAATTTGATGACAGTCACGTTTGTATTTTAAAATTAATATTTAAATTCATTGAGAAAATCAAAATTATTACAAAAATGTGTGAACATCCTCTGTAATGTCTAAAAGGAAAGCGAAGATTATCACATTTAACAATCATGCATCCATTACTGTAACAAATACTGCTTCTGCGACTGGCATTGGAAAAATCAAGTGTTTCTAGAATTCCAAGGAAACAGAATGAAACTGGAGCATTTTCTTCAGAAAGGAAGGACAAATTTAGAAGGAAAAGAACTTCAAAATCTTATAGATTCCTACTCCAAAATGGCTGCTCACTACTGGTTGGAAGGAGAAAAATCATATTAAAAAACAGCTTTTGACATTTCAAGTGAAGCAAAGTTTGCATCAGGGAAATATGGCAAAAGAAAGAAAAATGCTAAGTATAGTAAAAACTCAACTTTCCAGAATGTTCATAAATTGGAGAATACGAGGTACATGAAAATTCTAGATAGTTTAGCATATAAAAAATTTAATTCATGTTAGAAAATTCAAATCAATGCTGAAAAATTTCATTCTAAAATTATAAAAACAGCCATCTTATTTGTTATCAACTTAAATATAAAAAAGCTTCATTTAAAATTATATAAGATTTCGAAAACAATGTGCATTTCAGTTGTAAAAGTCTATTATTTTGCAGGTTTTAAACATGAAAGTAGAACTTCTTATCCGATTGTAAAATCCTGTCAAACATAAAAGTTGGTGGAGATATCACCAATAATTCCAGAAGTTTAAATGAAGAAATAATTTTTTATTTAATTATTTAATAAAGATTATTTATAATCAGATAATTTTTCAGTTACATTGCCATTGATTATCTGTTTTCAATGTCGCATATGGTGGCTTTTTTGATGCTTCAATCCTGTAACTTTGAAAATACTCCATGGAGCCGCAAATATTAATCATTTTTTTCAAATGTGAGGAAAAAATAGAAATTTTATCTTTCGTTACAAAAATTATGCCAGCTTATTGAGAATTAATCGAATTTGACATTAAACCAAAACAAACTTATTGTGTTTTGGTTTTCTGCCTACTATTATTGGTTCTAAATCACAGTGTTTGGCAACAATGTGTATGCATTAATAGTATTACAAGCTGTATAATGGCATTACAAATATCTCATTTACTAAATTTTTAGGAGACAAAATTGTTTTCTAAAATTAAAATAAAATAAAAATTTTTTTCTAAAATTAAAATAAATAAAATAAAAGTATTCCAGTTACTTAAGCTGTTCAGTTAGTTGAATGCTGGATTACTGTTGTATGGGCTTTTAAGAAAACCCATTCTTTAACTCCTCAAAATATGTATGTCTTAAAAATTAATAAAGAAATGGATGCCTCTTCAACCCAATCAGTTATACTGCATGCTGTTGAAAGCTGTTTTCCTGAGGACCAGTAATTTAATGTTCATAGTGACAGTTCAATGAAGGTTAAGAACATGGCTGCTGGAATTGATATGTGTACCTGGTCTACTTCCTTTTACAAAGCAGCAAGCCATTTAAATGATTTTACAAGACGTTTTCTCACTGTTGTGAATACTTCATTTCCACAATCAAACAGAAGCTAACACAAAGAAGATAAGAAGCATACATAAAATATACATGGAAAAATTGAGATTTCCTTGTTAGATGCCATCAAGGTTATCATTACAGGTTCTTTATTATGGTTTCCTTCAAGATCCACATGTACTTTATTAAAAATTAAATAACTAGGGAAAAACAGAATGTTTTTATTCCATAAAACAGTCCAGTTTTTTAGATAAAATATATTTTTAACCATTTTAGATTTTAAACTTATACATACATATATTTTTGTTTAGGTTTACATCTGTCTGGTGAAATTCAAAAAGAAATTAAAACTATAAAGGGTAGAATGAATGATTTATGCATTCAATTCAACAAAAACCTTAGCGAAGAAGCCACCATCTTAGAATTTACTGAAGAAGAACTAGATGGTTTGCCGCTTGACTTTATACTGAGTTTAAACCAAAATGTAAGTTATTTTCAGTGTTCATTTCTGCTTTTTTTTAATTAGGATTATAATTAATTTTATAATGGCTGAATGTCCATATACAAAATGCTTTTGCATATTGCAAAGATTTATGAAGTACAGTATAAAGTCTCTAATTCGGATGTCCATTATCCGGAATGATCTATAATCCAGACCTCTAAGCCACAAACTTATGCATGTGCGTAAAGCCAGTAAAGCGTTTACCTATGCGGGCTTCCGATAGTGAAGAATATAACAGAGAATGTTATTGAAAACGAAAATATTTCGATTGACAAGTTAGTCAGTATTCTCGACACAGCAATTACAGGACTTGAACAGTGAAACTTTGTACTGAACAAGAAATTATGTCTGTTTATAGAATTAAAGAGAAGGTATTAGCACAAACAACAAAGCAATTTAAATAACTTACATTGATAGAAATGTTTACTAAAGTAAACAAATAAATATTAAGCTTTTTTTTGGTAAATTTTGATACTCTTTAGATCATAATTGCTCTTTATTTCATAAATTAAGGTTTTATATTTTTAATTGTATTATTTCTGCATGCCATCTTACCAGATTTAAATTGATGATGTATAATCCAGAATCACCGAAGTCCCGACGAGTCCGTATTACGGACTTTGTACTGTACTTTTAAAGGAATGACAATCAAAATAAGATCTTTTTGGAAAATGGACATGTCTGCCTGATTCAGTTGTGTTGCTATCTGCAAAAGGAGTAACAGACATTGGTTTGTCTACTTTCTGTTCTTGTTTTCAAATTCAGTTGATTGTTTAGTGTTTGAAAATAATTTAGCCAAATCCAAATTTTCCAAAATGTAAAAGGCAGGTTCTAGTATATCTATTGTTATGGTAGTTGGTGTCCCATTTAAATCTGTTACAAATGTTTTGTGTGTTCGCTTCATGACTGGGTGTAGTCCAGAATATGGGGATTTGCGTGGAGAACAAGTTTTGTTGGTTCGTAAGAATATGTGTGAGCATGTTTCTAATGATGGATTGACATATGCTTTGATATTGCTGCATGTGTACGCGTTCGTAATAGATTGAATGCACAAGTCTGATGAAAAGTTAATAAAATTTATTCTTATCACAAAAAATAAAATGAAATGCTGAAATATTTCCTCATACATATTCGTACAGTATCACACAGTAGTTATTTTTTAAACTACTAAAACATTAAATAAAACACAATTTGGGCAGAGAAAGCTAATCTGTTCGAATTCGCTACAGTAAACAACAAAAGTTATCTAAACAGCTGAACTGAGATGCTTTTCTCCGGCTTTTATAAGCTTTTTAATCCTCTCGCTGCATACATTTTTTTATCAAAATAGGTTCAAAAATTGCTTATTCTTTTTATTACATATTTCAAATCTACATATATTTTAGAGTTAAAATATACAAAAATTTTTTAAAGAGTTTTTTTTTTCAATATGGAATTTGATCATAGAAAAAGGATGTCAGAATACTGAAATTGAAGAATAATGATATAAAAGGAAAATTTTGAAAAGTAATATTGGTTAAATTATGATTTATTTTATAAAATACAAAGGTAAAACATATATATTTATGACAATATTTGCATAATGTAATATTTTTGCATATCAATTTTACATCACTGTTGAACGTTTTCAATAGAAACTGAATTTTCAGATTCATCACTATCTGCAGAGGAATCCGAGAAGTTCTTGTTTTGCTATAACTATCACCAATATACTTGAAATCAGAGTCAGAACTACTATCAGTGTCGGAAATATCGTAAGGAATATAAGTTATATCACTCACAAAATGCTTCCTGCCAGACATCTTTGAACTCTGAAAAGCATGCGCAAAATGTTACATTACGTATTCTTGTACAATTAGCAGAAATGTGGACAACTAACGCCATCTGTTAGCCCACATCTAAATAAACAATTAAACATCACAGAAAGCGAAAGGAACTTGAACTTTGAAAAAGAGCGGGTTGCCATTTAATAATGGCAAAATCATCTCCAGAAATCACGGGTTGCGCAAATTTTGCTACTTCTACGTTGCCTACGTGGAAATCGCCAGATGTGCAGCGAGAGGGTTAATCTTGCACGAAACATTCTGGTATTTTCTCGAGATTTCTGGAAAGCAAAGGAGTAGAATTACAGTTACAGGTAACACACAATTGCATTTATTCAATTTAAATATAAATTACGAGATATCTATTTATTAAATGCCCGTACTCCTGTATTTTTACTTTTTCGATGTAGCTTTCTCTTACTCATCACGTGCTGCGTTGAACGGGGAAATAAAACAATTTTAATTACAATTCTTCAAAAATAGCTAATTAAATACAAAATCCGTGACAATATTGACATGATCAGTAAAAACGGTAGGATTAAGTTTTTTCATCATTTTGCAGTTAACTTAAAACTAGTAGTAATAGGGTATTTGAGATAATCTATAGGAATAATATTCGATGGTAACCATAAGAAAGTTTTATATACCAGTTGAGAGCTTGTTGCATTTATGAGCTTATTATGTTTTATATCTTCATTTGCACATGGGGGTTTCATAATATTAGGAAATTCATTTAAGACTTTAAGCAAATCATTATCACCATATACAGTTTTGGCAGAAAAATAATATCAGCAATATTTAAAATACCATGGCAATTCAATTTTATCAATTGTGTAAGGATTTCAAATATCAGGTTTTAAATTAAAATAATGCAAGAAATCAGCATCAACTAAGCAGTAGAAACATTACAAATATAAAAAGGAAAAACAATATTTTTTCTTAAACTAATGAAATTTTTTTCACCATAAACCTGAATGAGTGTACCATTGGCGGCATTAAAAGTTTGGATCAGAGTCTGTCTCTTTTCATATTTATTAGCGGGAATTAAACTTGCATCAAAACCTGTGTTAATAAGAAAATTCACTTTTGATTTTTGGTCTCTTATAAATATGCAATTTGACGTTGATAACAGGATATACGTCTCCACTATACCTGCCTGCTGGCATTTCTCTGGAATGAACATGGTAGTGTACACATTTTTGCTTTCAATTTGAACTGCTGATGGTACGAGCAAATGCCCGAAGCAGCTGCGGGTGAAGCCTCGATGATGGGCACCTCGATTGTAGAGGAGAATTACGAGAATGACTTCTTGACCTTCTTAAGGAATTTACTTCTTTGCAGAATTCTTTTAGCTCCTCTAGAAGTCGAGATTATGTATTACTATTAATATTAACATTGGAAGAATTCGAAGCTCTGCTTTTCTTGGATGGAGTAACTTCTAAAATTCAATCAACCACCTCAGTGGCTTTTTGCAGAAATGGGTGCCAGAATAACTTGAAGATTTGCAGGTATTTGTTGTGAAAATAACTCTAACATAAGGAAATTGACAATAGTATGCAACTCGGTGTGGCGTGGCACTGCATCACACAAAGTAATTTGCTAGGCTTATGGTTGCCTAACTGTTCTCCAGCTAATAAGTATCAAATTTGAGTTTTGGTTCCTCCTCATCTGGAAATGATGTGCTCCTTCAACTGGGTATAAGGATCTGTCTTGTCAGGATTTAGGATGATATCATGTACTATGGATGCTGCATCAGGTAGAGATGAGAAACACAATAATTATATTTTGTTTTCAGTTAAGTGGTAGGCTTAGGAGAAGCCAAATTGAAAGTAGCTTCGCACATGAAAAACCACAAAGCAGGATCAGCATTAACGAAGACTGCAATTTTTACTGCTGTTGTCTCTGTTGACAGTGATGCGATGGTAGGCTTAACACAAAATGAAACGAGTCTAAAACAAAATTCCACAGAATGAGAAATGAAGGTAGTCTGGCATATAGTTCCGGCGGTCACCATGTGGAGATCTTAGATGCAGCTATGAGATGAATGTTTGCATTTTATACAAATGTTTATTTACAACACAAATAATATTAGCAGAAGAGCACATACAGCAGCTTGTCCATTGGCGTAGCAATTGGGGAAAGACAGAGTTAAAGAGTTATTACAGCACTACTCCTCCTGAACTAGAATGCTTTCACTTCAGATTCACAAGCAAAGCAGTAATCGGAGAGCAACAAACTCAGTTACAAATCAGTTGTGCTTCTGTGAACTGACCAACTGAATGATTCCAGTGGAGTCATGTTGAAAGGTTATCCGAGGAAGAGGTTAAACACTTCTGAAAGCTTTGAAGAAAACTGCTGCTGGGACTTCAAAACTGTTGTACAAGATATTTAAATTCTATAATAGTTATTTTATTTTGAAACCCTTTCCTATCAATTCTTGTTTCCACTTAGAGAACTCCCTTACCAGAATAAGGTTTTAGAATTGCATTGAATGCAAATGAGTTAGAAGAACTACTTAAGGAAGGTTCAACTAACTTCCATAGAGAGTGCTAGGAGTCCTTAGAAGCACATGTTTGCCTACTCGCTAAGTCACTCTTGAAGCTGTTATGCTCGGCCATATTATACGTGACTTTTGGTATTCGCCGGCTAGTTTAATTTAAAGGCCAACTATGTTAAATAATTGTGTCTAGCTTCAGCTAAGTCTTGTTTAGTTAATTATAGTTTAATTTCTTATTTCTTATTCTGAGTTAAAGCTGAGTAGTAAGGAGCTTCTTGTAAGCCTGAGAAGGGGCTGACAGTCATTCTTATTTGAGTGAATGAAAGGGTATTTTAAACCTTCTCGGGTCTATGTCCTAGCTGTTCACAATTCAGCGATAAGTCGCTGCATAGTTCACTAGGTTTCTCGATGTTCAATGTAGACAAAAGGAATTAGGAGCCCTACACTGTATTTTCTAGAACCTTAAAGCTTATCACCAAGTTGGGGAAAAAAAATATCAATAAATGTTGCTAACTTGGCTGCAAAAATTATCACTGAAGCCAGGAAGGAAGTGTTCTGCCTTACTCCGAATGTAACTGAGCTAGATTTACAATTCAAATGTCAAACAATTCTAAATAAAAAATTCTACTACTAAACATATGAATTAAACATTTACAAATGCAATAGGTGGCCACAAAATAAATAAAAATGCAGTAATAAAATTATTATGTACAGTACTCTAAACAACTAAATAAAAACATTGTGTGACACTGGCAGAAATACATAAAATCCAAATTTGCAAACAAATACATACAAAAATGTACAGCAATAATGTGATACAATCTATAAGCTTTTTATCTTTAATACTTTTTTGGTGCTGATGAATTATAGTAGCAGAGCTAATGTAAAAGAATAAATGAGAACTGTGGGCCAACATGCCTTCATTAATTCAATATATGAATGGCGGTATCAAGTTAAATGCTGAATTTTTATCATACAAATGTTAATATAGTGAAAGTAAAGTGGATCCTCTAAACCTAGTTTTCAACATTAAAAATTTTTTTTTTTTAAATTGTACCTGGTACATAGGCATGTGAATGTACATGTACACTGCACAAAAAAAGGGGGCAGTTCTATGTCTCCTGTTCTACTGGGCCAATTGATGAAATTCAGCACTTTTCATGACTCGAAAGTGCGACTTTCATGTCTCAAAAGCGTGGATATAAATTAGATTTATATAAAGTATTATTCTAAGATAGATATTTTAGCACAAAATCAGACTTTTTATGAAGTAACATACCAATTTTTTCCATATTTTGATTCTATGACTCAAATTATGCCAAACTGCCAAGTTTTGTGAAAACTGCACAATTAGTTTTTAAAAACTTAGCTCTCAAAATTTCAGCTCCTCAGTGTTAATTGAATTTGGTATATATTTATTAATATCTCCCTTTTTATTAATTTTTTTTTATTCTTCCTTTCATATTTCGAAATTTAGGTTCATTTTGATTAACAGTGCCTCTAGCAGTGATTTCTAACCAGAAGATTTTTTGCTCTTGCCAGATGAAACTTACATAATTGTAGTTCCAGAAATAATTTGTTTCTGCTTAATAAATTAATTATCGAACTTGTACTGTGCTATTCTTTTTGTCCCATTCAACGTAAAACATACTGTGCGAATCTAAGTAGTGTTTATTACTGCTTCATATTGCTAAACCCCAAAATCTTTCAATGTTTTGAGTGTCCCATAATTTTAAAACTAATCCACCACTTGCTATTCTGTAAAAAGAAGGCCGCAAATTTCATTTGTTTATGTATTTTTTCAAATACAAGAGAAGAGCAGAGAAATAGCAATTAACTCATATCCTTCATTACAAAATCTAAACTGTCTTATTGAGGATCATGCTTCCCTAAACCCAAACAAAACAGATAGGTTTTGAGTGTGTTTATGCTACTTTTATCACTAACTTTAACATCTGGTAATAATCACACTGTCTGGTGGCAGTTTTTGTTCCAAAAATGGTTGAGGGAAATATCCATAAATATTCAACAAAGTAGTTTGAAAAGTTAATGGTATTTATATATTATCCTCTTAAAATTATGAAAATTGGCTACCATCAAACCATGAAAGTTGGCAGAGATTTCATCAAAGTTGTAACAAATGTTCTCCCAGGATTCTTATAAGTAACTGGCACAATAATAAAACAACTTCATTTTTTTTTTTTTTTTTTTTTTTTGTTTTTTTTTTTGTAATAACACTTTTGTTGATTTCTACTATTTTGCTGTGTCCTCTGACTGTGTGACTGGAAGCTTTGTTTAGAATGCTCCTGCAACATAGTTCTTCTAATCTATTACTGTTTTGTCAGCCATCTTCAGCTATCATATCATGCCCAGTAATCATTAATACAATTTCTTTAATTATAGGATCCATAACTTGAAAATAATCCACTGCTTGATGTTCTTGAGAAGGCAGATCCCAAATTTAATTATTTTTTCAAAATGCAAGTAAAAACACAGAAATAATTTATTTATATCCTTGTTTATAAAAAAATCATGACTTATTGAAAATGGGGTTACATCAAATGAAAGTGCAGATATGATTAATATGTTGTGATGGTCAACTCCTGAGTGTTGAATCTTGAATGCAGATAATCAGAACATACTGGATAAAATCTTATTGAAATTGAATATTTCAAGTTAATCTGAATGAAACTATAATTTTTGTATTTGTAGACGTTTATTTAATTGTATTTTCATAACTATTTCTTGAATTTAGAAGTCTATTCCCGGTTTTGTATATTTTTATTGTAGTTGCCTCCAGATTTAAGAATGAATAACTTCAGTTGTGGAAAATGTTTCGTGCTTTGTCTAAATTTTATTGTGCTAATAAAATTGAGTTTTTTTTTTTTTTTTTAAAGTAGCCAATATTTTCATTTCCTATGCTGCTGTTTTAGAGATTTCCATTTTTTAATTTCTGTGCTGCTGTTATAAAGTTTTTTTTTTTTTTATTCTTCTAGCCTGACACAGGAAAAAGTGAAGTAACCTTAAAGTATCCACATTATTTTCCAATTATGAGAAAGTGTAAGAATCCTGAAACTCGGCGCCTCATGGAATTAGCATTTAATAGTCAGTAAGTAGTTATTTTTTCACTTATAAATAGCTAATTCCAGATCTGATTAGTGATATCCAAATAACCAAATTTTACATTATATGCTAAAAATTTCTCAAACCAGTAGCCTGTCATGACTGCCATTATAAGAGATTGATCTGAAGAAAAATTATAATCTTCTTTAAAACAACTTATAAGGTATTTCTCACGCTTTCCTAGCTTGCCTTCGTGGTGTAGCGGTCTGCATGCTGGGCCAGTATTCCAGAGGTCCGTGGTTCAATTCGCGATGAAGGCGTTTTCTCAGTTTTCATCTTACCTGCTTCCAAAAAATAATCCTAATGTCTTTACAGTGGCACCCAAACTAATAAGTCTGGTGGATGATGACACCCCACACTCAGGATTTGGCAGTTGGGTACCCTGAAAACCGCAGTCGCCCTTTAAAAAGGGGACTATATAAGGTATTTCTCCCGCTTTCCTAGCGTGCCTTTGTGGTGTAGTGGTCTGCACGCTGAGGCGGTATTCCAGAGGTCCAAAGTTCGATTCCCGGTGAAGGCGTTTGCTCATTTTTCACCTTGCCTGCTTCCAAAAAATAATCCTAATGTCTTTACAAACTGACCATTGTTCCAAAAGATCCTGGTCCATGATGGAAGTGGTTGTTTTTCATTGGGAATTTTTATTTATGTTCTCGAAAATACTAGTCCTTTCCAGAAGATAAGCTCACCATGATAAGATTTACTATATTTTGAATACAGAGACTACTGAGTATAATAATGTATACTATGCTCTGATAAATTTGCAAAAATTAGAAGTGGGGAAATCAAAATGGTTATATTGGAAAAAATAAATAATTTTTCAATTTGATGTATTCCATAAAAATAAATATGTAATTGAAAACATTTCTTATCAAAAATAGTTCAAGATCAGCGAAATAGACTGCTACTATGTTCTTATATCATTAGTCGTTTTGAAATTGTACTCTGTGAGTGGCTTAGCATTTTGAATGTGGTATGAAGAACTGTATTCAAACTGCTTCTGTTAACTAAATTTGTTTATTATTTTTAGTTTCTATTTTCATAAATTTCCTTTCATTAAGATGATATTTACATTATTAACGAAACAAAAAAAATATTCAAGTTGTAAAATAGTATATACAAAATATCTCATGACCATATCATGCTGCCAACTTTCCTAGGTTTATTGGGAGACTTCCTTTTTTTTGTTCCTTCGTCACATCTTCTATCCTCTGGTAGATCACCAAATCTTCCAATTTTTTTTATTTTAAACCATTTCTAAGGAAAATGTTTTCCAGCAATAAATGTAACTTATGTATACTATTAGGCAAATGTCATTTCCCCACTTCTAGTGATTTTTAGGATAGTTTTTCGTAATAAATTTTATTCTATCTGAATATTCTTAATGATTATGTTTTCTTATTAAATTTCATTTGATCTGAGTTGTCTTAATCTACTGTAGACATTTGCAGTTTTTATGTGAAGATTCAGGCAGTGTTAATATAAGTTAATACTTGCATTTAATTTAATTTTACTTCAGTGCATGGTATTATTATAAATTTTATCCACATAAATATCATGCACATTAGTTTGCAGCTGTTTTGCTGCATTTAATTTTATCTTCATCATATTTAAAAGTATTTTTATAAATAAAAGCTTTCTTTCATTATTCAGGATTTTCTTAGTATAAAAGTGCTAGAAAATTTTAAAATGAAATTAACCAAAAAGCATAAAATTTAGAATATCTAATTAAATGCAAATATAGTTTACCTCAGAATTATATTAGATATAGTTGAATAACATGAATTATAAGCATTATAACTGAATTAATGTAAGTTTGGAGTTTCCTTTGAAATGGTGCCGCCATGCAGCATGATACCCTCCCAGACTTCTCAAGCAAATCCCCAGTTTTGAAGATTTCAAGATTGGCAGCTATGCTATAAAAAAACTGGTAATGCTGCTCAAGGGGTTAATATTCCACTTTGGAATGATGGGGATAATGTTTTGTGTTTACACAAATGAGAATATATGAAGCATATCTAGTTTTTATGATTATTTCTTGTTTCTTTTGAAAATAAAAGGTGGCCCAAGATAAACCAGATAACTCATTTTAACTCATTTCATCAGTTTAAATATTAAATAAGGATTATATGATACATATTTTTTTTCACAAAATGCTTCCGTTTTTATTTTATTTAATTTTTGCACTGTTATTTTTTCCATGTTCACAGTAACCTGTTTTGATTTAAAAAACATCAGAGAATGGCACAAACTCGGCATCGTGCGCAACCCGGACAATGCACACAGGGTATTTACCAAATGGATCTTGCCATTGTTCTGTTTAGCAATGTTTTGGAAAATATTCTCTTCTGCCAGAAATTTGAACTTCAAGTGACACAAAAAGAATGCAAGTGAAAATGGTGACATTGTTAGCTCAAAGGATTGTTTTGAGCATGGGTTGTCTGAAAAATGGTATGCACTTGGCTTGGTGCATTCTGAAAATTTCGGGACTTCTACTAGGGTGGCTTTGATAAAACATAAGTACCAAACAGTTTTTATGGAAAAATTTTACTATTTTTCCTGTTTTAAACTCAGTTTTCAAATCTGTATTTTTGGGATTTGCCTGTAGTGGAAGAAATTTTTAGTAAAATTTTGTAGCATTAAAGGGAAGAATTACATTGAGTCTATTGGTAAGGTTTTTATTTTTTTTTAAATTTTCACCCAAACAAAAGAAACTATCAGCTAACAAGTAAGTTTATTCAATAGATAATTAAGGCAAAAAGTATGTATATTTAGTACTTTTTGCAATTATAAATAATCATTTCTTATCTTTTGTAAGAAATCGCCAAATGCACCAAATTGGTTGCATTAATACATAAGCATAAGTATTTATTCTAATTCTCATGCATGCAAATAGTACATGATGGAATATATGCATTAGAGATATGATGCCAATTAGACCTAACATATTGTCAGAATAAGAACTTGGAATTTATTCCAAGGAAGTAATCTAACTTCATATTTAGCAATGTTCACATAGAAGTAGAAACATGCTGTGAATAACAGTCATACAGTTTTGAACGGGACTGTCAAACAATATCTGCTACAAATATGCATAAAAAAGCTGTTTAACTAATCTGCTAGTATTGAAAATATACTTTATTCTCAAAAATTGTTTGTTTTATTAACATGTTGACTGCCGTGCGCATTTCACGTGGTTTATCCATGACACCAACTTGAAAGTTTTATTATGCGATGTATATTATGTTGAAATATTATCTAAAGAAGATAATGTGATTTATATGATCGTGCTTAATGCATTTTTTCATGATGGGGGATCACCGGCGAACCCCAAACATCTGTAGACCATTTTTGCAATTTATATTTAAAATTTTTACGATTTATTATTCTTCAAACCATTATAGTAACAATGTACTATTTAAAAATTTATTAGTGTTGATATTTACTTATTATTTTCTATATTTAAAATCATGCTGAGATACCACCATCCACTACTTGATTGGGGTATTATCATTGCAAAGAAAAACTTCTGTTACATCTTCTTCATTTATTATCACTTTTTTGCATTTCTTTTTAAATTCCTTGTGTGGAAAATTATACCTTCTGTAGCATTCAAAATCCACAACAAAATAAGGTTGTAGTTTTGCCCCTCCCCCTTTTTTTTTAAATGCACTTTCTTAAGCTCAAATTGGCCTAAAACTTTTTCTCTCATGCCATACATAGAAAGTCAACATAGAAGGCAAATACCAAATATACTTTTGCTTTGAAGGTCCTGCTACAGCCCCAGAATTAGAAAGACTCTCCCTTAATCAGAAACTCAGACTTTAATTTTGATAGTATAGTCTGCAAAAAATAAGCTGGATCAAATTAGTTAAGGAAGAGTAAAATTTGTTGCAATAATTCAACTTAATTCCTTCCTAACCTTTTTCTCTCCCCGCTGTTATGCCACAAAAGAAATATCAGTATCAGTAACATCTCACTACAAATGAATATGCCTTCAGGCTTCCATTATTGTTTAGGTCAGTGAGAAAAATATTAACCTCCCCTCCACAACCATTCAAGAATGGAAAGTGTGGTTACGGCTAATGTCAATCAATGCATTATCATTGGCGACAGGGATTTTATGGCTAGTAGGAGCTTAAAGTGGCATACAAGAATCTCAATTTGTAGGGAGAAAATATGTCTTTGCAACACACCTGCTTTTTCTGGGGTATTATACATCATTCCTAAATTTCATTAAAGAAAATGCTGATGATCTGGAGATCTGATTATTAGATCATTCCGGATATTGGATGCTTAATTTTAACTTTATGCTGTACCAACAGAAAATTAAATAAATTTTAATTATATTTAAAAAATAAAATTATACTGGTGGTAATATTTGCTAAAATTTCTATCAAAGGGGATGAGTAAGGTTGTCCGCAGAACATTTTAATTTATAAAAGTGGTTAAAAAAGTTTGATAAATGCTTGCTTATTCAATAACATGGATGTTTGTAATAATCTGTTATGGGACTGATTTTTGGCACAAACTCTTTTTTTATTTAAACATCTTTCTGCATCTTACATTACTTAAAATTATTGTTATTTTTAAATTTAGATGTCATATTTTTTACAGAATGCATTTTGTCTGAAGTTAATAATAGTGCTTTTCAGATGTATCAATGAAAATATTCCTATTTTGGAAGAACTTGTAAAACTTCGAAAAAAGGTCAGTAAATAATAAATATTCAAAAAATACTTTATATATATATATACATACATAAGGCTTTTTAAAAAAAGACTGAACTTCTTAAATTGCGTGTTGATGGCTGCAGATAGCCTGTTCTGGCCCCCATGTGCATTTAGCGATATACCTTCCTTTATTGAGATCAGATATACATATTTGTTGCCAAGTAACTACCAAATGAGTGAGGTCATGCATATGACGCTTGTTGGATTAGTGAAAGAGCAAAAATGTATAAGATAGAGAAACAATACATCTGTATGAAATTTCATCTAAAATTGGGGAAAACTTTCCTTGAAGCATACAAAGGCTGGGTCATACATGGATGTCTGAAAGAGCTAAATAAAGTGCTATGATTGGTTTTCAGCATTTTAAGGAGTTCAGAAGCTGCCTTGCTTAAAATCTAATGACTGGATGACCTTGCACATAAAGAGACAACCTTGTTCAGATGCACTATGAATTTGTGCCATATGGGTAGCCAGTAAACAAGAAAGTCTGCCTGAGAATTCTAACATGACTGAACTGTAGAGAATCGGTCGTGAATATTGCATCTTGAAAATGCTACAGCTGGTGAATCGTTCTTTACTGATTATTTGACTAAATATCGCAATTTTGTTGCTGTCCACTCTCACTGTTCTCCAGACTTTCTTGTTTTAGACCAAGGCAGATTTTTTCCTCTTTCCCAAACATAAAACCAACTTGAAAGTTGTTTCTATTCCATAGAGAAAAATTCAGGAAAATATGATAAAATACTTCACACCATCAAAAAAGTGATTTCCAGCTGGTGTTTCAAAAGTGAAAGAAATGACGCCTCTAGAGGAAATGGTGATTGAAAGTTTGTGTTATAAGCAATGAAGCAAAAACAACAATAGTTCCGTCTTTTTTTGAACAGTCCTTCTAATATATGTGAAGTTATCAGTAAGTTTAGCATAAACAGAATATAGTTTTAAAATTCAGTATGATGTTACATTAAGCATGTCAAACAGAACAGTGTTATATGTATTTGAAACATATTTTAAGTCTGTTTATTTATTTATTTATTATTATTATTATTATTATTTTTGTATTGAATTTACTTCTTTCCTACCACTAGAGTAATTGAGAAATGTTCTTAGTTTTAAGGCATAAGATAATTTTATGCTAGGTGAATATAAAGGTGATATTATAATAGTTATTTTTAGTCTTTTTAATTAAGCATACAGTTCAGTTTCTTGCAATTAAAACTCTAGTGAATCTTCATGGATTCAAAAATTGAATTGACAGAAAATTTTTATCTGCTTGCATGTATATATAAAAATTCACTGTTTTTGAAGTCTGAGAGATTCTTGATACTCTTAAAGAGTGCTGAACATCTAAAGAAAAGAGTAATAGTTTTTAAAATCATTTTGCATTAATATTTTTATTGTTTTCAGAAAAAATGATTTCTCATTACCAGTCTGGGACTACGAACATAAACATGCATGCACAATTACTACCTGTTATTAAACAAGGCAGACTGCAGTGAACTTGTCCATCTTCTTTTGCTTATATTATCCACGGGAGGGAAACCTCATTCAGGCATATGCACTGGTGTGCAAAAATTAAGTATGAGACGGTTTTTTCAATATAACTTTGTACAAAAGCTTTCCCAATCAACACATTTAATACCATAAGATCCCCAACACGTAAGGACATGAGTAATGTAAGCAACACTTACTAAAAGAGAAATCAGAGGGATAAAAAGAAGCTTTACTGAAAAAGTAGCATGGAGCGCAATGCGACTGAAGGCCGAAACATCTCTGTGATGGGTGTTCAGCAAGAAACATCCGGTCTTTAATAGGGGATATGATCTCCCCTGACTGCTAGGCAGGTTTCACAGCATCTGCCCATGCTGAGAATGAGGGTGTCAATGAGTTGTTGAGGCATTGCTGCCCATTCGTCTTGCAGTGCCAATCAAAGCTCCGGAATCGTTACTGGTGGTAAGGTATGAGCTGCCAAGCGTTTGCCTAGAAAATCCCATACATGCTCGATGGGATTGAGATCCGGAGATCGTGCCGGCCAATCCATACGTTCAATATCCTCACTCTCTAAGAGCTGTTCGGCAGCTACTGTGCGATGACATGGTGCATTGTCGTCATGAAAAGGAACTGCGGACCCATAGCGCCTCTAAAAAGATGTACATATGGAAGAAGAATCTCGTTACAATAACGGGTCCCGTTGACTGAACCTGCGTCGAAGATGTAAAGGTCTGTACGACTACCAAGCATGATGCCTCCCCAAATGAGAACACCGCCACCTCCATACCTGTCCCTTTCAATGATGTTCAAGGGATGATTGCGGTTTCCTCGCTCTCTCCAGATGAGTATGCGATGAGAATCGCTACTCAGACTGAATCTGCTCTCATCTGTAAAGAGTACTCGTCCCCATTCATTGTCTCTCCAATTCCGGTGTTCCCGACACCACAGAGAACGTCTTCTCCGATGGGCAGGCGTTAGAGGTACACACCGTACAGGGCATCGTGCAAACAGACCACCACCGTGCAGTCTTCTGGCCACGGTAAAACGCGATATCGGTCGTCCAGTCGCCTGTGTCATGTGTCTAGCGATTTCTCCCGCTTTCTGCTGCCTGTTTCTTCTGGCCTGTAAGGCAATATACCGGTCATCTGCGGGTGTGGTTCCTCGTAGACGACCACTACTAAACCCCGGATAGCTGTTCCTGTAGTTTGAAATTGTCTCCAAAGTCGTGAAACGATGCTGTGAGCATTTCCGAACTCTGCAGCCACACTTGTCACACTGCGGCCTTCCTCCAACTTCCCAATGATTCGACCTCGGGTAAAAGCATCCAGATGTCGTCTAACAGATTGATTATTCGCCATTTCTCGCTGAGGCAGCAACTTGGTGTGATTTTAACTGCTATACGGCATGCAATCTCTTTGCCAGAAATACTGATCTTACACCGACAACATGCTTTATACTACTCAGACACTCCCCCATTACGTCTACATGCATATCTGCGCATGTGCTACCGTACATCACCTTACTTAATCTCCTGATTGGTCTTTCTGTGCACTCTGCCTCTTCGTTCAGCTGATATGCTAATTTTTCGACTTCGTCCTTAATTTTTGCACACCAGTGTATTTATGATGTAAGGTTTAAATTTATATAACTTAGTTATCTTATTATTTTGGCTTTAGCATTGCTTCAACTTTTATTATCCTTCATTGCAATGTGAAGTAGAAATAAGTAAGAATTCTCAAGTTTTTAGAGAGTGCTTGGCAGCATACATTGAACATCACTCTGTTGTTGTAATCTGGCTTGTTGGCATAGTTTCTGTTCACTGCTGTTGCTTCATGAACATTTAATTAGGGATGGGTCAAGACTTAGTCGGTTATTTTAATTTTTGAACATGTATTCTGGTTACCTACAAAATAGTGAAGTCCTTTTGGTGTTTAATTTTATGTAACCATTAGATCAACTTGATCCTTTCTTTTTAGTTAGAAGGAAGGCAGAACAAAAAGTCACCAATCAGTCTTTTATGATTACTCAGAGGTGATCTGTCATTTTGGTAGTTTGGTCTGAAGTAGTAATAACATAACCTTAGGATAAAGTGCAGGGAATTAAAATATATCCTGATATGCAAGTTCTTGGAGTGCAATGATTAAGATAACCAGCAACAACTGGAAGATCAATTCTCTATGAGGATACAGTTAATTTGTCATGTTTTCTGCTCAAAAATAATATTACAATAGTATGTAACAGGCCACCTTATGGTGCATCCTGGATAATGTGAAAATTACTACTGCTTTGCTACTTTACTTTTAGCTTTTGAACTTGAATTTGAAATGAAGGTGTGATGGATGTTAATGCATAATCAGCTAGTTTTACTGACTGAATCTTATCACTTCTCATCGTCTTACTTCTAAAGTTTTGTTTTTTTCTTCAGTTTTCACTCTTTTTTAAGAATGAGGGGTGCAACAAATTAAGGCGTTCTTCCCATTTTTTCTTGTGATGTATTAAATTCAGCTAACAATTGGAAGATTTGTGGTTTAATTCTTGGCCCCAGTATAATAGTTTTTTTTTATTTTATTTTATTTATTTATTTTTTTTTTTTTATTTACTCTCAAATGTAAATCGCCATCTTTTTATAACCAGGTCTGAAGTTTTTCAAGAGAGTCTACTAGTGTCTCAGTATCCGTAGTCAGATAGTAAGCTTTTTTGTTGTTTGTTTTTGGTACTGAAAATCTGTTTTTAATTAAGAATGGTTTTCTTAGAATGTAGGTAATTGCTTTAGAAAAGAAACTGGACACTTTTAATTTCCAAATATGTCTATCATTTTAAATGCTTTGGAGTAAAGTTTTAAATTCAAAATAAGCTATTTAGCTAATTAGCTTTTATGCTAATTTTTTTTCTGACAATAAGTTATTAAACTCAAAAATTCATTCTTCGGTTTTAATAGGTAAATATCACCAAAGTCTTGGACACTGCAAATAAAATAATCTGCAGTTTATGAAATATAAATTTGTGATGTTATTTTGAATCCAAGCAATGAACAACATTTAAGAAACAGCGTTTTATTTTTTTTTTTTTTTTTTTTTTTTTTAAAGCTTTCTGTGAATTTGACTTTTTTCAATATTTTGCATCAAAGCTGCTTATATAAAGCAAATGCTGCTAGATATTCCAAGGTTAAATCTTAATTTGCTTCTATGGAAAGAGAAATATTCTTGAAAAGTTATTGTTAAGTAGTGTATAAGTAATTCTGCTCTAAAAGTGAAGTACTTAAGAAAACCATTAGAGCTTTCTCGAGAAATACAACTCATTATTCGTCTGATAGTAAAAAAAAAAAAAAAAAAAAAAAAAAAAAAAAAATTAAATAACTGAGAGGCTTTGTTCAAAATTAGGGAGAACAAAAAAAGATGGGACAACTATAGATTGGTTTAGCTTATCAGGACTTATGTTTCTCTTGATTTGCTTTGGAAACATGATGTGTCCTGAATAGGAACAGGGAGCTTACTCAAGCTATGTTCAAGCTTTGTGTGTAACAGATGACACAAGCAGGAAGGGTATATGAAACCCTTTATTTTCTATACTTTTACAAGTACTCCCGAACTTAGGGATACAAAGACCAACCACTTGTGGTCTGAACATAAGAATATAAAACTACTAACTAAAAGCTAACTTTGAATTAGTATACAGATGCCTAGCACTAAGACTGGCCTTTATTTAAAAGGGTACGTATGTAGTATGCTGAGCTGCTGAAACTACAATATGTTTACAAATATCAAGAAGGCTAAACCTCTGGCCGTAAAGGCAACCAGCAACTAAGTGAAAACTTGTAAAACTGCAGTGGCAAGCGGCTTGCTTCCTAAATCTCCTTCTCTCTCCCTAACTCTTGGCAAAAAGCCACAACTTAAATACTTGGGCGTTAGCAAGACAATTTGCATAAACAAGTTAAAGCATTTAATTCTGGCCGGAAGTAGAAAATAAGAAGTAATAGTACAGTTTTAAAATAAAATAAACGTTAATAAAACTTAGGATCCTTACAAGGTTTGGAATAAAACTCTGTATTTCAAGTATGAACAGATATATCTCTCTTCATGCTTGTTTTCAAGTTGCTTGCATGTTCTTTTCTCAAGTTCTATTCCTTGAAAATTTTGAGGGAAATCATCTTTTGTTCTGATAGTCCTCGAGAAATAAAAATTCTAAATACTGGGAGACAAATGCTGGAAATAAAAATTCTAAACACTAAAACTCTAATTACTGAAAATAAAAATTATAAATATTGGAAGAGCTGCTGGTGAAACTAAATTTGATATCTCTAATTCTGCTGGTTAATTAATAACATAATGAAGGATCGAAAAAGAATTTTAAGAATGGATTAATTTTAAAGATGTAAAAAATTTAATTCTAACAGGTGGCAGGTAGAAGCGGGTCTGGACAACCAGGTGGCTTACATAGACTATTCAGGTGTTGTCCAGAGCCCACAAGGGCCTAAACACATGGAAGAGGTATAAAAGGAGCATAGATTTTGAAATTATCGCTATAAAAACTTCTTTATAATTAACATAAAAATCTTTTAATTATCTATATATTTCATTTTTTATTTTTCATTTTCTACTAAGACTGCTTTACAATACTGCTTTGAATATGCTGTTTTGGCTGTGGAATAGTCATTCTAAAATAATGAAAAAATATAAACTGTATCCAGTATCAAGAAAGAAAATAAATGCAACAGTATAAAACTTAAAGCTAGGTAGAACAACAACTTTATGTTTGGCATAGATTCTAATAAAAATAATGCTTATATTGTTTCGCTCTTGGCACTACACTCAAGTTCACTTTACTCCACCCTTTGTTTGTGGTATAAATACGGTCATATGCCTTCTTTCTGAGTAAACTCTTTTGACGAAGACAACTACAATGCTATTAAAATCTATAGAGTTTTGGTTAAAATTTGCACTAAACATAAAGTGGTTTGCCTAATTTTAAGTTTACCCAAGATATTTGACAGGAACTGAAATCTAAAACTTAAATTTAAAAAATTAGAAACTTGAATTGAGCAAGATTGGACCAAAAATGAAAAGAAATAGTTGAATCTATGCTGAAAATATTAAAATGGTGTAAAAACTTTAATCAAAGTTAACAAAACTATAGAACTGTTTTTAAAAATGTTATTTTTATTTACTTACTTAATTTTTTAATTTATGTATTTTTATTATTTATAACAAGTGTTTCGTTGGTTTGTGAGTGTATGTTTGGCTATTTATATTGAATTTATATTTTCTTATTTTTATGAACTGGTTGAGTAAGTACAAAGTGTATACTTACAAATTTAAATGTCAGGTGCAAGAACATTTTTTTTTTTTTTTTTTTGTGTGTGTGTGTGTGTGTGTGTGTGCATGTGTTTGTTGCATTGAATTCAATTACATTTATGAAAGGCAGAGGTTCCAGTCTTTTTTACAAGACTATGTATCTAGGTTAGGGAAATTTACTCTTTGCATCCTCTTGTGATGTTAGTGAAATTTTCTGCTATACTATCTCTCTTGCTTTTTTTTTTACAATCCTTACCTGAGTGGTGGTGTTATTTGCTGAAAATGACAACATTTTACAGTAAGATCATTTCAGTGACAGTATGATTTTCGAAAAATTACAGTATTTTTACAACAAGAACATTTGACTGATAGTATGATTTGCTAAGAACTACAAGATGTTTGTAGTATGATTTGCTGAAAGTTGCAATATATTTACAGAACAGTTTTTTTTATTTAGAATTTTTTTAAAAATTAAACTACATTCAACCATAGCAAAATATTTTTAATAAGATATTTTGTGATATACATATATCAAAAGAAGTTCTTAACCTTACTTGTATACATAAAAGTTCTAGTTACTAATTATTCATGAAAGAATGAAATTTTTAAATGCGTTTGTAACCCTGATAGATTTTCTGTAACTTTAAGAATCTCTGATATTTTTTACTCTGATATTTTTTTAGTGTTTTCAAGGAGAATGTGCATTAATGTGTTGTTATTTTAAAAGAAAGCATTATTGCAGTCGTTCTGAACCTTTTTCCAAAACTCAATACATATAAATGGCTTATAAGGTTAATATAAACTTTATACATATATATATTAGAATATAAGCTTTATATATATCTATATATATGGCTTATATACACATATATGTGGCTTATATATACACACACATATATATATACTCAATATATATGTGCATTTGTTTAAATTTAGATTGCTTTTTAATGTGTTTTATAAATTAAACACAAAAAGGTATAGAGAATGTTGACAAATACTAAGTTGAACAAAAGTAATGCTTCATATTCATAAACTAAAACTAAATTAACAGGTCAATAAAAGGCTGACTTCATTTTCCCCTCAGAGGGAAATTCCTTCTTGGCTGAGAACCCTTGCATTAATGCATTCTTACTTTAGAAATTCCTTTCTCCTTCCCACAATAAGGTAAATAAATAAAAAGTCTTTTTTTCTGTTTAGTGTGTGAAAAAAAAAGATGATATCTCTAAAATGCAAATGCCATTCATTATGTTTGAAGGTTATGAAAACATGAACCTTAAAACCTTTAACCTCTGGAGGGGAGGGGGGCTGAGTTTCTTTAGTTTAAGAAGAATCCTTGCATATCATGTGTTTGCATAGTTATAATTTTTCTGTTTGTTATTATATAACTAACTTTCAATAATCCTGGTTTAATAATTTTTTTCTATTATTTTACTTAATAGCAAGCAAACTTGCTCGGATTTTCAAACCATGCAGCATATATAACTGATTTGAGAATGGCTAAGACTGCAGAAAATGTCAGCGAGTTTTTAACTCAGCTATGGCATAAACTCACACCTCTATGGGATGAAGAAAGAAAATATCTTCTGGAGCTGAAAGAGGAGGAGGTATTTCAAGTGTTTTCTGTATTTATGTGTGTATGTAAGTTGCAGCTCATAACTAAAATTAGTAGTGTGCTGCTCCAAAAAAATTTTAGCCTTTATTTTAAAAGTGTGAAAAAGGAAACAGATTTGTATAAAAAGAAAATTTATTCATAAACTTCATAAAATTCTAAAAGAACAAAATCAAACATTTTTTTACTTATTCTAATCTAAATTATTACAATTCAAGCTTGATCTGTTCGTTTAAAAATGAAACCCATTTTATTTTAATTTGTGCCAAAAATTCATAATTTTCTTCTTGATCTCTGGATGATGGCTGAGGAAATTGTTCTTTATTAAAAGCACTGAAAATACATTTAGACTTTCCGAATTCATGGTACTTCTTAGAAAAGTTTTTATTCTTTTTCATGTTAAAAAGCAGGGTTCTGCCTCTAATGATAAGTTTCTACAGCTGAATTGATTTTTAATATTCATGAATATCAGACCTACAATAGAATACTTTTAGTTCAGTTTCAGGCTTTTCTTTGTTAATCATCAGATATGCTTCAGTGGCGAGTATTAGCTCTTCTGTAGATTGCTCATTCTTAAAACTAACTGCTAAATTATTTAACAAGCATTACTTGTTATACAATTTAGCTGCTACTAAGAATGTCTGTCCATTATATCAACACATATATAGTCACACACTTCCTTAGCTTCTGCCAGGAGTTTCTCAGAAGGATTCACTCAGTACTTTAAATTTCTTTATTCTAAAATATCAATTTTGAAATATGTTTATTCATTAACTTTAAACACAATTTCTCAAGATTGCGTTTTGTAGTAAATTATTTGTAATCAATACTTGAAATTATCATCATTCAGGTATTTTAAAACTCTCGTTACTTCTGCAATAGTTTGATTTGCATTTGATGCTGACTTGAATTTCAGTTAGGCAGTTTTTTAAAGGTTACAAATTTTCATGAACTCTATTTATGGTCTGTGTGTTGAAGTTCTGCCTTGTACAAGATGGACATAGAATGCTCACATCCATATACTTCTTGAGAAGGGTGCATGTTGTGCTGATTTTGAGAAGAATGTTGGAATAGCCAGAATGTTAGAGAAAAATATTCTTGTGTTTTGTGTAATATTTGCTGCATTTCTCATTATTAAATTAAATTGTTATGCATAACAGTGAATGAAATGTGAATTACCATTAGCTGCATTTATTTTTGCTTGAACTCCTGCTTTTTTGCCCTTTGCGGTATTTGTACCATCATGTGGCTAAGCCATTAAGTTTTTATCTATTTTCTTAAAGGATTATTTCCAATTGTTTTAAAGTATGCTTTTATAAGCCATCTGCAGTTTGATTTTCTGGAGTAAAAAAAAAGTCTCCCAAAATGCTTAAATATTTCTCCATTCAATACGTGCCATAGAACAAGGACCATTTTAGTGTGTTCCAAGACACTTGTATTGTCATCAGCAATGGCAATTGCAGAGGAAGCTTCCCTAATTTCTGTCCTTATCTTCTCATAGTATATTTGTCGCAGGCAGTCACGTATATCATTCTGGATGGCCTTAGAAACACCTTCAAAGACTGCGCTGGTTTTTAAGTTATTCTTCAAACTTGAATATCATTTAATTACAAAATTTACTAATCCTCTAAATATCCCTAGATTTACTAAATTGTCTTTTTCATCATGTCCACATAAGAGAGTTTCAAAGTTTCCTGAAAAGAAAATGAAATTTTTGTTATTTTGAACAGTTTCATGGTTCTTTCTCCTTTCAAGTTTCTCCTTAATACTTACAGTTCCTAAAAGTAATAGTGAAACTACATTATCAGTCTGTTTCTTTTGACTTCTCATGCATAATGACTTATTTTATTCATTTTATTTATATTTCTAAAATAATCTTTTATCCATGTTTCATTGCTCCCTAATAGCTAACACAGGAAGCAAAACAGTAGATTTTTTTTACTTCACAGCCACAAAGCTAACTTTTCCACTGGTACCATTTAGAATTAAAACTATATGACATGTTTCTTGTTGTTGCTTATATGCTAAGATATTAAAATATAAGCATTAAATGACATCTTTTCTTTGCTGTAACTTTCTGATGGAGAGGTTGCTGTGAAAACTTAAGCTATTTAAGTTCACTTACTATCACAGAACTTATTTCTTGGGGATGCAAGGCCATGGTTAAAGTTTAAAAAAAAAATAAAAGTGCCCCCTCCAAGGAAAAAAAAGGGGTTGGAATCAAATAAAATAGCTAAAAGCCGGATAATAATCTAATTTTATGCTTTATCACATTAAGAATATGGTACACAACTTTTAAGGACAACATGCACAGTGTTGAAAGAAAAAAAAAATACTTTTCACCAACTTGCCAGGGTTAGAACTGTGGGAGCAACAGTGTTTTCTGCCCTTCACAGCTTTGCATATGCTTGTGGATAATAGCCAAAGCCCATGCTGCTGGAACTGTGAAATGCACAGTTCCATATTTTTGTATCTTTTTCATAAACTGAGGAGTGGAAACGTTAAGCTTAAGAATTACAAATTGTACAAGTATAAAAAAGAATTTAAGAAAAAAGGATTCATTATATTAAATATTATTGATAACATCAAGTAGAAATAGGGGGTGCTGCAGTTCTACATTGCTTATATGCGAGCCGCCCTTGGTGTTACTGATGTATTCTCAGTTATTGATTTTTCTATGAATTTTGGATTTCTGAATGCCTTGTGTGGGGAGAGGATTAAATCAGAAAATTAATTTTCTGGACATATATATATTAAATATCCTTCAGAAATGTTTCAAAATTTAAAATTGTCATAGTAGAAAGGCTTAATGAGAGAGAAAGCTCATGGATTGCAATAGGAATAAAAGGGTGATTGTAGTCTGGATATTGCTAGAATTCTGGATTTTTTACTTTTTCAAATTTGGAATTTCTGGATTTAGGAAACATAGATTATGTAATCAGTAAATCTGTTTTAAATTTTTAGAACAGATATGTCATTCAGAATCATCAGAGTGTTTTTCTGAGATTTTTATTTAACAGAAATTAAAAACTTTTATTCTAAATAAAGTTCAGTGAGTGGTCTGACTTTTCTGAACAAACTAGGTTTGTCTTATACAACAAAGGTATTTTTCATGTTTATCTTAAACAGAAACAGAAAAAACTGATATTATAAAGTTTTAAGCTGAAATATTCAGACTAAAAGAAGGTGGCAAACAGAAATTCCCAATATTGACAGAATTGATTAAATCTATTTTAACTTGCTTTTACAGACCCATTGTTGACCTTCAAAGACTGCACTGGTTTTTAAGTTATTCTTCAAATCTGAATATCATTTAATTGCAAAATTTACTAATCCTCTAAATACCCCTAGATTTACTAAATTGTCTTTTTCATCATGTCCACATAAGAGAGTTTCAAAGTTTCCTGAAAAGAAAATGAAATTTTGTTATTTTGAACAGTTTCATGGTTGTGACGAACCTGCATTTATCCATGGCGGCCCGTAGAGCAATCACAAAACATCCGGTAGTTCAGTTTTTCTAATACTATGTATTATCCATTATATTACATATTTACAACTGTCCTATTGTTAGGTGGACTACCTTCACAGAAATCATGTTGCCTAATCAAACGACATTTCGTTTCTACTTACATGCATTGCGCTACTGCCAAGCAGCGCCCTCTACTTCTCTCTTTACAACACTCCCCACCTGTGAACTCAAAGTTCACACAAACATAATACAAAATAAACCAGTATTTCTAAATCAAACACAACATTTGAATACTCTATAAACTACATCAAATTACAAATAACAATTAAGTAATGTTTAAACACGTTAAATCAACTTATAAAGTAATTACTAAATAAGAAACATTATACTAAATCAAAATTCCCAATAATTATATAAACTAAACTACATTTAGCAAAAATCAATAAAGATATTCAGAAGATGACATATGTGCAAACAATAAATCAGATTATTACATTGTAACTCTTTACTACTAATTATGCACTTCAAGGTTGTACAGCAATTGTACTGGTCTCTTTAGATTACCTGTTTTAGTTTTTATTAGACAAGAGCGAACCTGACCATCTCTGCCAGGATAAGTTTCTATTATCTTACCTAGTGTCCACAAATTCCTAGGCAAACGGTTGTCATGTACAAGGACTACGTCATTAACATTAAACTGACTAGACACTCTAGTAGGTGGAAATAAACTCACAGACCGTAAAGAAAGCAAGTAATCCTTCCTCCATCTATTCCAAAACTGGTTTAACAAGGTTTGTTGATGTTTATACCTTTTGATAACGGAATATCTAGACCCAATCAAGTCTTCTCTGCAAACCCTTGTAACTGGAAGAGAAAGTAAACATTTACCAAATAAAGAAATGAGCAGGAGTTAGCGTTATGAGGGTTGGGTCGTTGTAGACATACGTTATGGGCCTTGAATTAATTATGGCTTCGATTTCTATGAAACTGTTTCTAGCTCATTCAAACAGAGACTAGAAGTCCAATTATTTCCTTAAACAAGTTTAATAGTTCTAAAATGCCCTTTCCCAGAACCCCTCCCCACCAAGCTCCTTTTTCCACAATAAACTTCTATGTTATACCGTGGGAAGAGAAAACAAATTTTTGTACAGATGGGATGTTGAATACACTTCCAAATTTTTCGCAACTCTAGATCAGCCATTTGAATGTCTTGGCATTGTCTGAATATATCGTTGAGCACAATCCACGACGAGAAATAAATCTGCGAAATGCAAGCATAAAATTCTCCACGCTCATAGAAGGGACAAGTTCTAGATGTAAAGCTCGAGTGTAGCACATGTAAACAAAAGCAGATAATGTGTATTCTTGCTGTCCTTTGTAAAGAAGGGACCAACATAATCCAGGCCCTGTTACAGAAAATGGAGATGATTAAAGAACACGATCAGGTGGTAAAGAGCGGTTTCCTGTGTACCGGCACGCCACCTTGCATCGTTTACACAAAAAGCACTTACTCAACGTGGAACTTG